AACAGCAGCTCAGATCAGAGACCAGATGAATGCCACACAGAGTTCTAGCAGCAGACCCATCTCTAGAACAACTGTTAAGAGGAGACTGCGCCAATCAGGCCTTCATGGTCAAATAGCTGCTAGGAAACCACTGCTAAGGAGAGGCAACAAGCAGAAGAGATTTGTTTGGGCCAAGAAACACAAGGAATGGACATTAGACCAGTGGAAATCTGTGCTTTGGTCTGATGAGTCCAAATTTGAGATCTTTGGTTCCAACCGCCGTGTCTTTGTGAGACGCAGAAAAGGTGAACGGATGGATTCCACATGCCTGGTTCCCACTGTGAAGCATGGAGGAGGAGGTGTGATGGTGTGGGGGTGTTTTGCTGGTGACACTGTTGGGGATTTATTCAAAATTGAAGGCACACTGAACCAGCATGGCTACCACAGCATCCTGCAGCGACATGCCATCCCATCCGGTTTGCGTTTAGTTGGACGATCATTTATTTTTCAACAGGACAATGACCCCAAACACACCTCCAGGCTGTGTAAGGGCTATTTGACCAAGAAGGAGAGTGATGGAGTGCTGCGGCAGATGACCTGGCCTCCACAGTCACCGGACCTGAACCCAATCGAGATGGTTTGGGGTGAGCTGGACCGCAGAGTGAAGGCAAAGGGGCCAACAAGTGCTAAACACCTCTGGGAACTCCTTCAAGACTGTTGGAAAACCATTTCAGGTGACTACCTCTTGAAGCTCATGGAGAGAATGCCAAGAGTGTGCAAAGCAGTAATCAGAGCAAAGGGTGGCTATTTTGAAGAAACTAGAATATAAAACATGTTTTCAGTTATTTCACCTTTTTTTGTTAAGTACATAACTCCACATGTGTTCATTCATAGTTTTGATGCCTTCAGTGAGAATCTACAATGTAAATAGTCATGAAAATAAAGAAAACGCATTAAATGAGAAGGTGTGTCCAAACTTTTGGCCTGTACTGTAATTTGATTATAACTATTAACTATAATATCCAGTTTAAAATCAATGCAAATGAACAGATGTGGAACATGTAGTAGGGTAGTATCAAAGGGTGCTGAAGTTTTATCTATCAGGGCTGTGGTACATCTGACAAAAAAAGGTTGGTAATCACTTATAGGAACATGATCACAAACAAACAGTCTGTGAGTAAAATGCACCCATAAACATTTATAGTTTCTCAATTTACATAGCAAGTGTTGCAAGACAGTTGTTATTTGACAGCTGCGTGGTGAAATGGAGATAAAATCACCTTTTCCTTGTCTAAATTTGAAATTTTAAAACCACCTTTTCAAGAGAAATGTCTTTACAGAGTTGGTAAATGTCAAAACCTTTAAGTGAAAAACATCACGAGTCTAGCCTCGTATGAAATAGTATGAGTATTCTCTAGAGTTAGATAATGACATTTGTACCTCTTAAAGGCAAATGTTCATTTCTATGGTTCTGTCTGTCTACACAGTTTTCCTACTGGTTGACATGCTCTTTTCTATGTCGGTGTGTTTTCCTCTGTCTTTGCTCTTCCTGTTGGTCTTTCTCCCTGCACCCTATTTGATTCAGTCTGGTGTTCATAACACCTGTCCGGACCTCCTCTCTTGTGCTCCTTGTTCCGGCACCATCTTATCAGCCGAGCTACAACAACAAAACTCAACGTACAGGAGCAGAATGGAACTTATCATTCCACACTGTACAGCAAAGAGAATGAACATCAGGCCGCTGTATACGTATCTCTACCCTTCATCTGTGTGATCCTCAGAGCTGCCGGCCGTCTCTGATATGGATTAAACCTCAGACATGATCGCCATTCAGAGAGGCGGTTTGTAGAGCAAATGGACTGGGTTTTATCCTTATCTGCAAGACTGGCCTTTGGCAAGGTGAGAAAGGATGGTTTCTGCTGTTTAGTGGATGAATTGTAATTAAAACTTTTGCGCACATGAATAACATCACAAAGTCAGCACGACTGAGTAGTGGGATTTTTTTAGATGTGATATGGGAATGCCTGAGGTGGAGTTTGTGGGCGAGAAGAGCAGGAGTAAAGGTGGATTTACAGTTGTGTGTTGAGGGGTTACTGCATTGCTTTGAAGCCTACACACAAAGCTGCTGTAGTTACGCCATAGTTGACGTGTGCCTCCTCAAATATGTAACTACACATTTGGGATGCTGTAGCTACTGTGGCTACAGCAATACTACAGATGAAACAGGTTGGGTTTTATCCTACAAGCCTCTGATGATTTCTGTGGCTGTCGATAGTGAAGACAACACTGAGGAAGTTTAAGTACGGCTCAGTAATCTTGTCTTTTTCAGTAAAGCACATCTAGCAAAGTCATCTCCACTCCAATCCTTATGCTCGCCATGAAAGCCGCTTCATCACAGTGACTGAAAGAGGGCACAGTGGTATTTGCAGTAGTCTCCTGTTCAGTAATGAGATGAGGCAAAGTAGAAGTCACCTTGATGTTACTCCAATTCAAGTACATGCAGTGCTCACTGTCACTTTATATCACACAGCAAATGAAAGAATGATACATTTGTCTAGTGTTGTGTGGGTGCTAGCAGTGGGTGACATCTGACACTGAACAATAAATCAAAACATCATTATCTAAGGTTGGACTCTGTTAACACCTTGGATCCAGTATAAATCCAGCTCAACTAAGTCGACATATAACAAGAGTGTTATATTTCATATATGTATTGGTGCTTGCCATTTATAGGAGTAACTAGTACTGCTGAACATTTTACTGTTACATCTGATGGAGGTGTTTTTTTTGTCATAAATTACTTTACAAGGATTAACTCAAGTGAGGCTAAGTTAAAGAACGCTGAAAAAGCCTGATGAGAACAATGCAGCAATGTAGCTCTAAACCTGTTTGCAGATTTTCAAATCAAGTACTACTATGGCAAGGGAAGAGGATTTTTGGAACAGCCGTAGCAAAGCTGGTAGACAGAGAACTAGGTGATACATATCAGTGCTGGTAAGATAGTCCTAATTGGTTAGCATAGTGCAAAAATGCAGGGCTGTTCTTTAGACTAAGGGTGTTTAGAAAAGAGCTGCAAAGGGTAGGTACATTTCCCACAGTTTAACTCTGAAATTTTGGAAAAATAAAACTTTTTACACAGTTCAACATAAAAAATAGACCTTTAAATGGTGAACTTGTTTTGGGGAAAATAAACGTACAAAAGCAAAACGAGGTCTTATAGTATGCTTTGCAGTTTGGAGTTTGCAAAGTTTACTCCAGGTGACCCCCAACAGGATAAGCGGTTACAGAAAATGACTGAATGATGTTTAATATAACTTTAATACAATGTTAAATTTTTTAATTCTATTTAAAGGTGGTTACAATTATGCATTAAAAAAAATCTGAGTCAAATGAGGGGTCTCTGACTGATGATTCAAATCTCTGACTTTCAAGTTCCCACCTTGAAAAAGATTTTTGCAACAGCAGTTCTGAATAGGGGTGGGGGAAATTTCCGATTCTTAGATGCATCGCGATTCGGACGTGGACGAATCTGAATCGATTCACAAACGTCCAAATTTCGATTATTTAAATCTGTTAATTAGAGTAATACAGAAGGTTCTAAATAATGCGGAACTAAGAAGCGCGGTACGCGTCATCTCCGGGACACTTTGGGATGCGCACCTGGAGCAGACACACCGACACATGCACAGAGGAAAACAAACATGGCTGACCGCCACCCACCTCGCCGTGAGGTCCGAACAGTTCCTTCTAATTTAACAGCTCCTTCTACAACGTTGATGGCGGAAGCGAACTGGACAAGAGCCACGTTATATGTAAGCTGTGTCGTGCTAAAATAAAATACTTTGGCAACACAACAAGCATGAGAAGCCATGTAACTCGATTCCACCTGACGGAGGAGTCAGGGAGACGGCAGGCTGTTGTTGCTGCGGCAACTAGTGGCGCTACCGACCAGAGAACAATCGAGGAAGCAATTAGAAAGCTGCCACCTTCATTGGAAAAGGCGAAGCGAATTACGAAGGCCATCGCGGCATTTATTGCCAAGGATTTGCGTCCTTCTTCCATCGTGGAAAATCAGGGATTTCGAGGACTGCTGCATACACTGGAGCCCAGATACACCATCCCATCCTGACGCTATTTCACCGACACTCTACAACCAAACCAAAACAGAAGTCATGGCCTCACTGTTGAAGGCAGGTAGGATCACAGTTACATGTGATGCGTGGACATCTGTCGCCACCAAATCATTTGTTACTCTAACTGCGCATTTTATCTTGTGATTTAAGATACCTGTTGTTACCTTTGGTTCCATACAATGAAGTTGTAACTTTCCAGTTTGCACGCATTTCCATTTATATGTTTAATAAAATATAATGGAAATGAATTCAACTGTTTCTTATTACAAATGCACTGTTTTTAAAAATTGCAAGTGTTGAATGCTTATTCAGTGAGACAAAAAAAAATGTGTGTTGTGAAAAAGTGCATCAATATACATAAATTAAAGATGCATCAATAATCGTTTTATAATCGAATCGTAGCCCCTGAATCGTAATCGTTATCGAATCGTGAGGTGCCCAAAGATTCCCACCCCTAGTTCTGAATATGAAAAAAAAATAACTGAAATTTCTTTTAATGGGTGTGAAGCATTCAAAAACTCAAATTTCAATCAGACAGGATTTAAAACTCCTTGCTCAGGCTCGTGAATATCCATTGCTATTGTGAATGTACAACTTAAATATTATTGTCCCTTATCTATACTTCTATGTTGTTCCTCCTGGATAGACCATATGAATTACAACAAAGAGCATGTTTTAATAGTGCGGATACAGCTATTAATTTAAGTGCTTAAATGCCCTCATAAGTCATATCAACAAGGACAAGTACAGCTGAGTAGGGGGCACCTGAATCCAAAGCTGACTTGTGTATATGAGCATTCAAGGTGATAAGTTGTGAAATAAGTGTTCAGTAAGAGACCAGATGAGAGCCAAGTGATGATATGCAATCACAGTTGCATTAGAGCTTACCTGATTGGAGTATCGCATGCTGACATTGCGCTGGTCCTGGTGGGGCACGTAGCGATGGATGGGATCAATATCTTTAGGGCTGATCAGCTCATCCACTGAATTATGAGCATACACAGAGAGAGAGAGAGAAAGACAGATACATTAACATGCATACAAAAAACACTCCCACACAGGCAAGAAGACAAATGTAAAAAAAAAAAAATCAATTTCCCACCGTTTGCACAAATACAGAAATGCACACACACACAATGGATGAGTCAAACTGCATCCTCTGATTCATGTCAGTGAAGAATTAAGCATTATTTACAATCATTAGGTAATCATGAATAATAAAAAACAAAGGGAGTTTTTTTTGTCATACTACATACACAGTTTTGCATTATTAATGAAGTTGACATTAAAATGAAGAGAATGAATGTGTGGGTTCAGAGCGTCATACCAAGCACACACAAACACACAGAGGCATACCCAGCAGCTTGGCGATGTTGTAAAGGGCTTGACCACACAGGAAGAACATCCCATCACGGCCAGAGTTGCTAGGGAAACGCTTCTGGCTTCCATGTTTGAGCTGCTCCCCCTCTACAAAGTCAGCTGGTACGTAGTAGTATTTGGGGACCACAGCATGGCCTGGTATGAGAGAAGGGCAGTGAGAGGACTGTGTGTGTATGTGCATGTAGACAGTACCTTCTGTGGACACGTGTTATATATGTGCTTGAGGGAGATCAATCTGCACTTCACTCCTGTAGTTATAGAAAACATACTTAAGTAACACTCTGGTGGAGATGCACACAACACAGTATGTAGCAATAATTTTGCACAGTGGTACAAAGAACGTGTTTTTAGACCAATTTTGTACTTAAGAGGAACATCTTTATGTTCAGTATGTACTGTACACACACACACACAAGTCAACCATTAAAATGGGCTCTTCTCAGTCGCTGCATTTATGGCCCCAATCTGTTCATGCTTTACAAAAATTACCTCTGACATTTTTCATTGAAAGCTTCAAAACGCTATTAAAAGCAACACAGATACTTATTATTACTAACCTGCATATTTTTAAAAAGAAAAAAAAGAGTTTGTTCAGAAAAAAAAAGAGTTCGCACAGAAGTACAAGAAGGAACAGTACATTTTTGTACTAAAAGTGCATTTTCACAGATCTACTATAACAGGAACATAATGGGCGCCAGCTGCTAAACCACCATAGTGGAACAAAGTAGCTCCTAATTGCTGAGGGTAAAAATTGTGCCAATTCAGTCTGAATTTAAAGATACGGTCATTTAAGTCAGTGAAAGCAGCACACTTATTAGTGCGCCTAGGTAGTGCAGTGGAAAAAAGTGTTCACCCACCAGTGCAGAGACATGAGTTCAACATTCTGGCTGAGGCGACTGGGAGTGTTTATGGGTGGGAAGCTGGTGAGGAATCATGCCCTTGTCACAACACTAACCACTCTTAGTGTTTGGTCTGTGCACACTGTCTCCTTTACTAAGTAAAACTAGCAGCAATACGGACTGCAGTGAGGGGGCAACTGGCCATTGCCTGTGAAACAAACAGATTAAACAAGAGCACAACTACGGCCATGTTTATACCTTGCCTTAACATGTGTCCTGGGTGATCAGATCACAAGTAAACAGTGCTAAATAAATGTGCAAATGACCACCAAGACACATTGTGAACCAATCACTCAAACCACTTGCTGAGGTGGTCTGGGAAGCATTTGACCACATATCTTTGCAGTGTAAACACCAACACTTCCCATAGAATGTAAAAATAATGAACGTAGCTACTGTGACATCACCCATTTGTTTGTGGACTGCCATTTTGAAGCCTCAAGTTTGGCATTATGGTCTTCACCATCTTTGCTTTTTAGGAGCAAGAAGTGACCATATTTGGGCAAGAGGCTGGTGCTGTGAAGGAGCGAGGGGTGGATCTGACTAAGAAGCCGAGGACACTATCAGCAGACGGCCTGTGACTCAAAGCGGGCCGACCTTGATTATGCATAACTTTAAGCCCAATAAAATGAAAACTGGTGAATCATATAAATTCTTTACTTCTGTACAGTCATCATGAAGGGGGAAATGAGCTATAAAGACCCAAACCGTTTTTAGTACCAGGCTGTATTTCTGCTGTAAAGTCGGGCCTTTTAACATGGGGGTTTATGGGGACTGACTGGTTTCTGGAGACAGCCTAAAGTGGTCATTAGAGGAACTGCAGTTTTTGGCACTTTCATGTTGGCTTTATTTTTTCAGTCCCAGATGTTGCCACTTAATTCGTCCTGAAGTGTCTCCAACAAGGACTATGTCATCAGTGCAGGCCATGGTGGTTGTCTTGGTGCAAGCAATATTGCCCCTTTTACAACAACTTGGACGAAGTACTGCATGACTGTCAGTAATTTTGTCCTATGGAAGAAGGCTGTGCCAACACCAGCACTTACTGTATGTAACTATTGAGCATGCGAGGAAGCAAAGAGTATGGATGTTATAACTGTGTCAGGGGCTCTTTGACCTTCAAGAGTAAGTGACGTAGGCAGCAATGAAATCTGAACATGGTTAGCTGGAGACACATGATAGACACAGGTGTCAATGGCAATGTGTCTGTTGCTTTCGGATCACCGAAACCAATGTTAATACCAGGTGCCAACAGGCTCTAAGAGTCTACAGCTACTTAATTGGCACTTAACACACAGTACCCCGTGGCTGATGGAAATGCCATCAGTTTTGCAAGTGTTTTGTTAGAAAACCAAGTATCAGACACACTGAAATCTGGATTTGATGGTGGCACCAGAGGAAAAGTGAAGGCATCACCAAAGATATTACAATTCACCCCTACAGTTGTTAATATATTTCACTCAAAGCTAAAGGGGAAAAACAAAATGAAATTGCTCACCCTTTAACACAGAGATTGGCTGATATGAGTGTGATGTAAGGATGAGTAATGAAGTGAAATCAAATGATAATTCAGTCTATCAGGCTACATTTTGGTCACGTCACATGTACAGTTATACCTGTGAAGGTTCAAATAATAGGGATACAAAAAAAGACCTATTTGCCTGTATGTGAAACAGCTGCAATCGGTGTGCCCCAAAACAAAAAATTCTCCTCTACATTTTCTTGAAAGTTTGTTTCAATATGAAACAAACCCTCTCCAAAGACAAAACACTGACTCAAAGGATGGCACAACGGTAGTAAATATTGCCCATTCACCACAGTACAGCAGCATGTCTCCCAGAGCTGCATCCTGCATGTGTGTGCATCATCAAAACAATGGGAGACCGTGACTCCCGGGAGGTCTGGTTAACCTGCAGCAGAACACACAATAGCAGCTTCTGACAACAGCAAATACATCTGTGGATTAAGACTTTTCATGGGCATTAATGGTGAACGAAAAAAAAAGTACACTTGAGTTATCCTTTAAAATCCAGCCAATTAACTTCAGGAGTTTTGTTAATCCATACATAACCAGTACAAAGGCACTGTGGAGACATGTGGAGCAAGCCAGCTCTGTCCCACATCATTATCCTTTCTACACTCCAATTATTCCTGTTCTATTATGATCGGACCAATAGGAACTCAAAGCTCTTGACATCCCTATCATTTGACTGTCTCCCCTCACAGCAATGGGTGCAGGTGAATATAGAAGCCCGGCTTGCTACTCATGAAGAAAGGCTGAGTTCACTTGAATGTAACGCCCCTGTGAGCCTTAGTCGCAGCATGTGGTGCATGAATATGGATGACGTGATTTAACAAGAGAAAGTTTTTCATAGCTAGAGGGAGAGAGAACAGAGGCAGCAGCTCCAATACCAACCATACTAATGTACCAAATCAGATAAATTTACACATGCGTGTGAGTGTGATTGCGCATTTGTAATTTTCCTCCATCCACTGGTCACTGCATTTGTGTGTGTGTGTGTGTGTGTGTGTATTCACATGATTGCTCACCCTCATAAGACTGGAAGATAATGGGTTCAAGGAGGTCCTGGTATTCTTTGACCTGAGCTTTATTTCCTCTGAACACCCCTGCAACACAAACACGCAGACACAAATACACACACATGCACGCACACACACGTTAATGATACTTATTCAAACTTTTGGATGAAACTTTTTGCAACACACACAACATCAGTTGCCTATTTAAACAGCAGACACAGAGCAGGATTAGCATTCCCATGGAAGCATGTTTATGGCCACCTGATGAATGTAAGTCCAATATTTCTCTCCACCAACTCCTGAGGGAAATATCTGGGGCTTTAGCTGCTAAATGATCCAATATGTTCACCAGTTATTTCCTACCTTCGTCTGTCTGCTGTTTGGTGCTGTGCAGGTAGTGTGCAGTGGATTTATCAGAGCTTTTTTTGGTGTAAAAAGCTGCATGTTGTGGCTGGAAACCCTGCCCACGAGAGCTGAATGAGTGGACAAAAAGCTGCACGTTTGGGCGATTACACCACAACAATGAGGCTAAAATGCTCAGTAAAGCTGAGGGGAACTGGAGAGTCGGGTGGGAATTATCTGTGGATTATTGCAGCTTTACAGGAGTACTTCACCCCCAACGTGACCATTTGTATATCAATTACTCACCTCGTGATACGCTGAATTTGTGGAGAAAATTTGGAGAGCAAAGAATCAAAAGTCATAGGCGACCATGTTTAACAACAAAAAAACTATACCAAAACATCTGTTTACAAGCTTTTACAGAATTCATGCAGTATAATCCAAGCCTCTGTCGTATGGTCAGTGCTTCCTAAACAGACAACTCTTTCCGACAGAGAACTGATCGGCAAGTAAAACTTATCTATGCTTTCTTTGAAGCCAGACTCCACTGGGAAAAAACTGTTATTTTAACTCACTTATCAAAGGAGCTGCTGGTCTAACAGGAACAGTGATCAGTAGTTTGTTTGTGTTATTGTGTGACTTTTGGTGAATCTGAACTAACCCTTTAAAAGACTAGTCACACAATGACACAAACAAACTAACTAAGTGAGGTAATGGTAGAGCAGCAGCTCAAGTGTTCAGCGAGGTAAAATTACTGTTTTTGTTAATGGAGTCTGGCTTTAGAGAGAGCAAAGATAAGTTTCACTTTTAATTGAGCTCCCCGTTGGATTACCCTGCATGAACTGCGTGAGAAGTTGCACATTGATGTTTTGATATAATTTTGGTGTTGTTAAATGCGGTGCCCTTTACTTCAATTAACTAAAGTTTTCTCCATTTCGGAATCTTTGTTTCCTGGAGGCATGTAAGAAAAGTTTTCTTCACACATTCAGTGTAATACAGGGTGAGTAACTGATATACAAATGGGCATTTGGGGGCTGAAGTATTCCTTTAATGCCTTTGCGTGCTTTATAAATGAATGTATAAACTGAACTGATCTTTTAACCATTAGTTTTAGCTGTTTGAAACAGTTTGAAAAACAATTCATGGATTTTTGAGATGGTCCCATAAAGACTGAGACATCTGAGATGGGACAACAGGCCATAAATCAGATTGTTTGTTTGTCCTACAAATGTCAGTGGGGTATAAAGCAGCATGAGGTGGATTAAATGATGCTTGAATTCACATTATGTGGAGAAACTACAGTATACTCCTTATTTTATGCCTGACCATTCCCTAAGGTTCACACACAAATTTCACACATCACATATTTTTGAAAAGTGTTTCTAAGTCCTCTAAAACCTGACAAACACCAAAATGTAATTTCCTGTCAAATGCTTCAAGTCTGTCTTCTATCTTCCCAGTGACCCACTTGAGGCATCATAACAGCAGCTATGGGTAGAACAAGGCTTACCATCAATCATCATGTAGATGAAAAATATGGGAAACTCGCACTCGATTCCATCAAAAAGCTGGAGAGAGACAGAGAGAGGAGGAATTATTGCTTTTCCATTTCAGAAAGGGGAGAGAGGCGCAGGGACTTTAAAGCAGCGGATGGCTGAACTTTAGTAGCGCTGAATATGGAACAGCACGGCACAGGGAAGGTATATAGAAGACGTGACATTGTGAATGAAAACTGACAGAACACAGAGGAATAATAATGCTCCCTTGCAAGGTCACTTTCTTTAATTCAAAGTTGTGCTGTTTGTTTTGAGGAGGACATTTCAAGGTCTGAGATGTCAGAAAGTTTACCACAAGGAGACAAATATGAAGTGAGTGAAATACGAGTGAGCTAAAAGTTAGATCAGTGGACTTTTCAACAGTTTGGCTTTGGGCCCACACTTCCACCACTTCAATTAAAAATTCTGTTGTTGCGAGACTTGAAAGTAGAAGATATGTAAACCATTTAATTGAATGTACACAAATCAAACACCTGGGTTATTCCAAATGAACCAAGAGCTGTAGGCGTGAAGTCACATGGACTGACTCATTCATCAGACAGTTTCACTGATGTCAGCCTGCATCATTAGCGACACCACATGGACCCGTGTGGGGAAATCAAATTCTGGTGACTGACAGCAGTTCATGCTACTGCGTCTGATCTGTTTATCATCTCTAGTGTCACAAAGAGCTAACCAAGGAAGAACTGGTTATAGGTATATCATAAATGCTAACACACAGGTGAAAACAGGAGAAAATTATTCTGAACTGTGAAATCAACACATTCTCACTCTCAACTCCTCACATACTGCCGCTCGATAAGCGGACTTCAAATCTACATATTACGTGCTAGGTATCCTGGGTGCATCTGGTGTTGATGTTCTGGGACCCCGTGCTAATTTACGCCTGTTGCATGCAGTGTGTCTTTTCACAATACACTTCTGTTCTCACAGGAAATGTACAGTTTCTGCTCATTACATGCAAACAGTCTTTTTTAAAAACTTGTAAAGCACAGTGTATTCACATTTATTTCATTCTGCAACAAATGCATGTGGTTAGGTTTGAAAAAAACATCATGGTTTGGCTCTACATTCGTACTGCTGGGTGAAAGTCCGGTGTTGTTGGACCTATCCACCACCCCTTCCGTCTGCCCTGTAGAGACTTTCCTGCTCCTTAAATTACATTGTTGTCTGGTGGCATATCAAACTGACACTCTCTGGTGGCTTTACTGACTGATGCTGTCAAACGGTGTATCATATTGCAGCAAAAGGATGCCTATTTTTCGTCAGTGTCTGATGCGATAATCAGTGACCAAGCTGCAGTATATGACAACTTCCAAATTAGAACAGGTTGGTAAAATTTATGGGAGTAGTTGCTATGTGATTGCTAGGTTTCACTAGGTTTTTATAAATAAGGAATGGCTTATATACAGACAGTAGGACACAAGTTAGATTTTATGACGGTTAAGAGTCTATTAATGCAAATCTTCCGTTAATCATTGTAACATACACACATTAGCATTTTCCCTGATGCATTAGAAAGTGCAAGAGGTTAAAGAAGGGGTGTGCTGTGCTTATGTCCCACTGCATGTATTTTGGCAACATAGCAAACACAAAGCAACTCAAAGTAATAGTCATTTCTTCTTAGTTCTTGGTGAGCTCTTTGTGGCACGAGGTTCAGATAAGTAAATGCATATGAAAAGAGCAGTGCTTCAGCGAGTGATCTGTCAGTATATACAAGTCTGTGGTACTCCAGTGGGGGTGTTGAACAATATTCTTCCAAAAGCTTACCCAATCAGGATGTCTTCAGCCCATTCAATGGCAGTTACCTGTTTTTTAGGTTTCACTTTCTTTAGATTTAGGCACCAAAACGAAGTGGGGACTTGAACTCTCATCTCCTGGGTGACTGTTCTATGTTTGACCCACCTGCTCTATATGCAGAATTTCCCACAGATGTGAAAAAAGTACCCATGAAAGTCCTTTCTGGCATAAAGTTGCCTTTTTAACCCATATCTGTAATGCTCATCTCTGCTGATTAGAACCATTTAATGGCCTGATACTGCCAAATTGGCTGAAAAGATATTCCCTGTAAATGCTGCAAAATCTCCAATGGGCACTTGGTTGGATTGGTGACTGTGACGACCAAAGCATATGATTTACATCATTTTCATTCTCATCAAACTAATCACTGACCCTTATATAGAAGCATGCGCATCTGCTATGTTTCTCCACTGATTTTAGTTTCAGGTTTTTGATTTAATTAAACCTCTCCCACATAAACACTTTTCAAGCTATGATTGACTGACTGATCAATATGAATGAGTAACTGATGAGTATATGCCTGACTGTGTGACTGTCTGCTTGTTTTCAGTCGACAGAACTCAGAGAAATAAAAGCCAGCATGTGGCAGCATCTGGAGTGAATTTTCTGGAACAAACACTTGAATTGACATGAACACCATCATTTGTTGGATTATTCTCTGAATCTTACTCAGCCAGAAATCCTATTATACATCACACATCACATGTGTTTCGTGTCACACGTATACACAAACACACAAACCTTCATTTGGTTACAAGTCACATGTAGAGGGGACAGTCAAGTGAATCACAGTCTTATTAATTCCAGTAATTCAATCCCATCGTATTTGTGCTTGACTAAAGAGGATCAGCATGAACACACAGTAGGAATGTTAGCAGCTTCATATTTGCAGAATAACTCTTTTCTTAGTCACCACATTTGTATAAACACAACAAATCACCAAGGTCAACTTCAAAAAGAGATCAAACAAGCTGCAGATTTTAATCAGCCTCTCTGCAATTCATCATTACAAAAGGTCTGTCTGTCTGTCTGTCTGTCTGTCTGCATGCATGCCTGTGTGCCCATCTAACTATAAATGCCCATATTCCTCACAATCTTTGTCCCTCATCTTCTTAAATAATCTCCACACTGATGGAAGATAAAAGAGATTACATCCTAATGCAATGACAAATGACTGGTAGAGCTGGCAAACACAAATATATGTGGGAGCTGCATTCACCATCACCAAGCAGATACTACAGCCTGTGTGCTTTAAAATGTGCTCCTTTAAATGGTTTATGTCTGCACTCGGTGATTAGTACGGTGGCCCTGAGGGTCAAAACACTACAACATTTCAACAAATACAAAAGCATTTTACAACATTTTGTGAAATGTTGTTTTGTTTTCTGAAATGTTGTGTTTTCCAAAATGTTGTTTTGTTTTGACCCTTCAGGGCCACTGTAAATTAGGTATACATGGCGTAAAACTGTGTGTTTCCGCAGAGATGATACACTAAGACACCCTACACAGGCAAAACACATTTATTTTTGGTAAAACTTCAGTTACAACCTGTTCCTGACTTTCTAACACCTGTTTTACTGTATAAAAATAAATAAAATGTTATAAAAATGTGTAATTTATGTAAAAACAGATTTCTAAATTTGTAGTAACCACAAAACAGGCATAAAACAAAGTGAAAATGGAGTATCTGCACTTTGGCTGTAGTTCCTGCATTGTGACTATGTATTACTGTGTGCTGTAGGACTCGTGACCGCCATTACTGCACTCTCTGCCATAGAAAGACAGCTAACTCGACAGCTAAAGTACGCAGGCTATGTCAAGTGAAAGCTAGCTTGTGAGAAAGCCGCAGCTAGCCATAGCTAAAACTAAAGTCAAGTGTAGTAAGCCTATTGATTTTCCCCTTATGTGTAAAAATATTCATTTTGATGAACTGACATTATGGTTATTCAGTTTGTTATTCCACATGATTAAATAAGGCAGCAGTTTAATTAATGCACGATGGAGAAACAAAATGGCTAAAGCTGTGCTCAAGGTAGCTAGCTTTGCAGAGTTCAGTACTTGCCATCCTGTTTTGTGACAAGTTAATTTCACAAGAGTTGATGTGGTCAAGCTACCTTTAAATCACATATCAAGATGTATTAAATTAATGTACCATATTGATTTTGTTTTAAATATTAATAGCACTTCGGCAGATAGAAATGCTTGATTCCTTTAAGTTATAGACTAAATAAAAAGTTAATTTTCTTAAGTAAAATGGATAAGAAGGCTGAGAGAACACATTTTGTTGGCTCTGTAAAGATCATCCAAAGGCAGAGTGCAGTATCTGCATATTTTAAGTACTGTGTGTGTCCAGTGGCAATGATTTTTTTTTGGAGTAAAATAATTTGCCTAAAAAGGCATTCAACAGTTTTACAGTTTGCCTCAACTTCACTGCTGCTCCAATTACTGCCTTAGTAGGGCAGAACAGATAGCTATCAGGGGGTGAGAGGGGGATGAGAAGGAGAAAAATGAGAAGATACAAAGGTGCGTAAAGAGATACAGAAGCAGAGGAGTGTTTATTTAGAGGGAGGGGGGAGTGAGAAAGGCAGAGCTAAGTCAGTCACCCAGTGAGGCCTGTGCTTTTTGGCCCGTTGAGGCTGTAAACAGGCAGGGATCCCTGGTGTTTTGTGCTTGAGCAGCTCGACTGATTGGTAAAACTGTCTATCACACAGGCTGCTGCTCTCTGTCAATGGTAAACAGACAGAGAGCACAGACGTCTGCCCTGCTGTGAATTCTCTCTTAAACAACCAACAACAACTTCACTCCGTGTCTTCTGCGGGGAGACCTGGTCTACCTGTGACTTCTTCTTCACCAGACAGAGCTCATACTGTGTCAAACACTCGCTCGGCATTTCATTACTCTGTGTACGTGCATCACTCAAAGGAAGTAAGATTGTACTTTTTTTGCTATGTGCTACGTTTGTAATGTTGTTACACCTCTAAAACTGGCATTGGCATTTCTAACGTTTTAAAAAATCTGTTTGTTTCAATATTCATTACTGGAAAATGGTAATCTTGTGTTAATATTTACTGCATTGTTTCGTATTACCACCTGGCACAGTTTCCCCTTATATGACTGGATTACTTGCAGTATTTGCTGATGTAGCAGCAAATATATTACTGTTGGTAGATAGAAGGCAAATAGCAGCAGGAGCGATCAGGAGTTTAAGTTTTGAAACTTAACTGGCATCACCTTCCACAATAAATCTGCCTGCCTGCTGGTAGAACTGAGGGCGGGATGGGGCCTGAAGGAACCGAGGCATTAAATACTGTTTGCTAATTCTTAGCCTTAGAGTTTTTGTACCGTATTAGCTGCAGGATTAAAGAAAGCTAATTTCAAAGCATTCTAAGTGGTTGAGAGTTGGTGCCCCACGAGTGCCCTCTGTGACAGATCAAGCAAGCACTTCCACTGTCTATGCCTTTTTTGGTCCTGTTTTCACCACCAAGGATCCACCTTTCTGCAAATAAAAGAATAGCAAAAAAAAAAGCAATCTAATTTTGTAGAGGGGATACTGTTTCAAACATTTTTTAGGGCCACATAGCAGCTGTGAGAGCTATGGGTCTATGAATCTGTCGAGTCCTGCTGAGGTACATTAAAAAACAGGTCACTTGCCGCCTGCAACAGCCAAACTATATTTTATGATTATAGCTTTTTGAGAAACAAATACATATTTCAAGCAATGTCTTTTGTAAGTAATTATATGGCAGTATTTTCTCTGCCAAGTAAAAATGTCACCTGGTGACTGTATTTCAAAATAACAAAATATAGATGCCAGCAATATTTTGGGCTATCTGGAAACAGCACAACAAGCTGAAAACAAAACACTGACATATCACAAAGTAGATATGGCAAATACAAGCTGCCTATTTTCATATTAAGTGGATATTAGGGCTCAGTATTGGTACTTACTACCTTCAGGTATCAGTCAGAATAACCCAATACCAAGTAGCATCAACACTTCTCCTGTCAAACATACCTGCATTCTTTTTTTTTATTATTATTATCATTAAGATTTAGAATACCTGCCTTAACCTTCACCATGAAATCCCTTTCTGGCAGAAAGCCCTGAAGGCAAGCTTCTCCAAACAGCATTACTGACCCACTACCACAGCAGCTACAACCCATACAGACTGTGGTGTGGTAAAGTCAAGCGTAGTGTATTTGACGCAGCTGGCAGTTCAGTGTGCCCAGATGCCAGAAAAATGTGAAAAGGTAGTGCTATACTTCACGACTGTGGTGCCTGGTGGCATTTTCACAATCGAATGCTTCCATTCTCATGATAGTGATATGGAATGAAGTGGGGAAAAAAGGTGTCAAATTAAGTACTTTTTTGTTATTGGTATCACTTTAAGGGTGCTGGTATTGGTACTAGTATCATAATTTTTTAAACCTTGGGTCTTCAACGGCGAGTCCACAATCCCCGGGGGTTCTCAGAGTTACTGCAGGGGGGCTGTAAAACCACTGCTTGGTAATTTGAATTAATTTAGGGTTCTTTTTTTTTTTTAGAAAAAAATAAAATATGACTGGAAATACACTGATCCAGTGTATTATTTGCAAGTATTGGCCTTTGGGCAACTTAATTTTATATATGCTTCGTCCCACTTTCTGATAAGGGGTCATTGGCCTGAAAAACGCTGAAAACCTCTGTTTTAAACAATACCCAGCCTTAACTGATTCTGAGCAATAAAAGCATTCTCCATCCATTTATTTTCATCCACTTATCTGGGGCCGGGTTGCAGAGGCAGCAGGCTGAGCAAGGCACTCCAGACATCCCTCTCCCCAACAACGCTTTCCAGCTCCTCGTGGGGGATCCCAAGGCGTTCCCAGACCAGATGAGATATATAATCCCTCCAGCATGTTCTGGGTCCACCCCGTGGCCTCTTACCAATTGGACGTGCCCAGAATACCTCTCACAGGAGGTGCCCAGGAGGCATCCTGATCAGATGCCCAAACCACCTCGACTGGCTCCCTCCGGATGTTCAAGCTTCTCCCACTATCTCCAAGGCTGAGCCCAGCCACCCTTCAGAGGGAACTCATTTTGGCTGCTTATATCATTAAATCAGGGATGAAATGAAAAATTATATCTCTGCCAAGTCTTTTTGATAATGTTACATAAAAGTTTTTAAATCAAGATGTAAGCTTTTTTCCACATCTTTTATCAAAGAGCTTTGACCAATTTATATTTTGAATAGGAAAGACAATTCTAGTAATAATTGCTGGTTGTAATAAAGTGGGATTACATTTGGTTTTGTTGGTTGTCAGCTTTCAGTTATTGTGTGATAAGCCAAGCCTCGAACTCAGTGGCCTCTCAGCCTCCTTCATACTGTAGTATTGGACAGGAGGAGGGGTTGATTTATTGGAATATAGTCTAACTTGTCGATGCTCCAGGGCACTTCAGAGCTCATTTGTGACTTAACCTCTATTGGCAACCTTATTTTTTAAAAGTCAAACTTTAAATCTATAAATTTTCTGTACAGACATTAGAAGTTCTGCCATGAGGAAAGTCGCTGCTACTCCTCCATGAATCTGTAGTACAACAATCCAAACCTTTGTGTCAGGCGACCTAAATGACCCATGACATCAAGGAATGAATAACCTATCACTTAGTAGAACTGATGGGACCTCATGGAATGGATGTGAAACATCCTCGAGACCAAACAGAAATTCCAGTTGCCTTCTACTTGCAGATCAACTTTTATACTCTCCATCTGCCTCTTTGAGTTCATTAATTCTGGGAGGTTAGTTCTGTTCTGTGCAATGATTTGTTTAGCATTAACAGTCCTGCCTCTGATTCACTCATTGTACGCTCACTGAGCTGACTCTGAAGTGAGCGCGCTGCCATTTTGCCAGGATCACAGGGGATTCAGAAAAGGACAATGAATGCACTGTCATTCACATACATATATATGCATGAGCACACCCACTGGCAGGGGCTCACTCACACACACAAACACACTAAGATTGGGGCTGAAATACCTGGAGGATTAAAACACTTGAAATGGGAGAGGCTAAGTCACACAGACAGATTTCTGAGTACTATCATACAAGGATAAGACCTACCTTTGCAGGCTTAAACATTTCAAAAACTTTTCAAATGTCACACTCAAGCACTTTCAAGTTGAACTTTTTCAGGTTTTATGCATTGCCAACCACTGGCGCTCTGCCTTTTACTCTGCGTGAACAAGTGGTAGCCTTAAATACCCTCTTGATACATTTTAAAACTTTACATTCTTTAACGCATGCAGCATTTTGTTTTTTAGTCTCCATGAACTAAGGTTCAGCACTTTTCACAGTGACCACAATATTTCAAACAGCTGTCTGTAAAACTTGGAGGTGTAGTTGTAAATTGTTTTTGCTCACACCTTTCTAACAGGTTATTCTCTGTAATGGAAGAAGAGAATGCTTCCTTTCTTCTCTAGTGGGGTTCCCCAGGGATATATCCTGGATCCTTTACAGTTTTATATCTATATGCTATTTTTGAGGCATATTATCCACAGAGTATGTTTTATTTCAACTGCGATGATAATGAAACTCAGCTTTACATTTTGCTAAAACTTGGAAGAATGAGCGATATTTTCTGTACTTTTTCATTAATGTCTGACATAATAAATATAAAATCTCAGTGTGTAAGAACTGCTTTTGTTGAAAGGCTCTCAACAACTCAGGTGTTATTGTGGACACCCACTGTCAAAGAAAAAAAGTTCAAGGAATTCAATGAGCAATGAAGAATAAAAATCAGTTAAATATAACACATATAAACAAAACCACCAGCACCCACCTTCATTTCAGCAGGTTTGTAATAGCGGCGATTCTTGTCTTCGTTAGCGGTGCGGTAGCCATCACGGAGGAAACGTTTGAATCCGTATTTGCCCCGCAGCTTGCGGACAATCTTGTCCAATGTCTGACTGTAGAGGGCGTCATCATCTACTGCAAAAGCAGGATAGCTGATGGTTGGTAGCAAGGCTGCGTCCGTGTTCTGCCAGAGAGAAAAGTTTTAGCTTGGTGTTTTTGAGTTACTTCAAGAGAAACTATTTATAGGACAAATTTACATGACAATAACTAAACTTAAATTGCATTTGCCAGGGTCATAATGAAAAATAACTGAGGAATCAAAATGATATCCTATACTTAGCTATGAGCCATAACAGAGGGTAGCTAATTCCATGCAGCACATAAATCTTCATGCGCTAAATGGTCATATACTGTAATGTAATGTAATGCTTACCCTGACATTCTTACAATAACTTTAACCAATCCATCTGCTCTCGCCAAAACCTAACCAATCCAACCAGGCAACGAGTACTAGCCAGTAGGGCGGTATGACAAAATTTTCATATCACGGTTTTAAGAAAAAATCATATCGGTTTCACGGTATTTCATGGTATTTTGCTCAGGTTCGGCCAACTTGACACGCTGCAGTGTTGTGCTATGGCCTATTCAAGTGCTGGAATTTGTTATTTACCTGACAACGCCTGAACATAACACACGCTCCGCTCCATTCATTTGGGCTCCACTGACTGCGTACGGAAGCGACACGTAGAGAAGCCAGCGGGGTTGTTTACCGTTTGCCGAGCCGAGAGGCTGCATGAAATGTTAAAGCGTTTTCCACCTAAGTTATTACATATATTTGAGTTATCTACAAGTTTACTGTACTGTTTGTCATCTACTCGCTTTCAAATGTCCGCCACAGACATTTACACAATGTCACGGTAAACATGGGTAAATGCATGAGAAAAAAATCATCACATATCACCTCTGATAATGTTTTATTCATTTAAAAACACATTGTGCTCGTTTAGCACACTATTGCATGTAGTTTTTATCTGCTGGAGGGTCGCGTAGGGGAGCGTAGAGCGACAAAAATAGAAGAGCCGCGTAAAATAGAGAGGTGTCGCGCGACAGACGGGGGTTGTCGCGCCGCTCCCGTTGCCGGTGGAGCCGCTGATTAACAGGGGGGCGAGCTGCTACGGGACTCACGCTGCGGACGTGTCGCGCCGCTGACGTGCCCGGTGGAGCCCGGCCGTAACTGTCTCGGACTCGGGACGGGTCGTCTTCGGTCAGGAAAATGCGGCCCGAGCCGTGTGCTTACCTGTGTGTGCGCTTTGTGTGTGTGTGTGTGTGTGTGTGTGGGTGTGTGCGCATCGGGGCGAAACTCCGCCGTGCGCGATACAGAGGACAGAGGAGAATTGTAAACAGCAGTGCGCCGCTGCTAGTTGCATATAGGGGAAACACTGTTCTTTTTGGTATGAGTTCTTCTGGGTCATTGTGTACAGTTGCTCTGCTTTCAGGACTCTCTCCGGCAGCCATTCTCACCTCTAAACTTTTCTATGCTCTCACTCTCACCCGCTCAAGTGTGCCTGTGGTGAGCAACAATGAAATGGGTCCCCGCTGAAACACTTTCCTGCCGCGCACGTTCCGGGCGTTGTTTGGGCTATTCACCGGTATTGTGGTATATGAAAAATTCATATCATAACGAAAATAAATACCGGTTTTCGGTACAAACCGGTATACCGCCCAGCCCTACTAGCCAGTCACAGGGAGAGTAGGGTAGATAATGCCTTTGTTATCCTAAAAAACAGCAATTGCATACTGCACAGCTGTAGATGCCTTTTACCAGCTTAAAGGGACAATTCAACCCAAAATTAAAAATATGAATGTTTCTTCTTACCTTACCTGTAGTGGTATTTAACAATCTAAATTGTTTTGGTTTGAGAAGGCTTACCCAGCACCATCAAGCCAACTAATGTTAGGACGCCATTTATGTTTACATTCCATGCTGTCACAAGCACAAGCCTCTCATCCACGACAAGATGCATGCTTCCTTCTGCCTGGTGATACAGTTAGCAGTTGGGAGTTCAGTAGAGAGAAAATAGTACCTTTGAGCACCACAAGCTGAGTGCCATCTAGTTCCATTATATTAGAGAGAGGGCAGACATCTCTATGGCCGATATCTCCAACACTCACACCAAAACAATCTAGACTGATGAACTGCACTACAGGTAAGAAGAAAACTATGTATTTTTGTTTTGGGGGTGAACTGTCCCTTTAAGATTGAAAGCTCCTTTTAATCAACATCACACTACAGCATTTCTTCCAAACCAAGGACTGTCTGACTAAATTTTAATGACAGCAATCATTAGGAATGAATATTGTTAATACGGTTGACAAACCATTATGACTGGACATTTAATTTTCTCATTTCATTTTTGTTTGGTTTACTAGGCTATATTAAGCAGTGAAAATGAAAGCTATTAGGGCACTAGCCTCACTGCAAACAACTATGAATATTTAAGGGTTATTAATAGACGGCAGAGCTTCCAAAAATAAAAAGACTTGCTCTCCATATTCTGCATGGATTCTGTTGTTGAAATGCCTGATAACTGCAGAGACGTGCTTTCTTACAGACAGGTGTGAAGCAGTTTGTCAACCAGCTCAAGGACTAGATTTTACAGAAAGATGCGGTCGACTGTTTGATGTTGCTGTTACGTTTTGTATTGCAATCTTTTTAATATCCAACACATCTCTACAGTTCACAGCGGAGGTGATGGCTACTGTCTGGTCCAATCCTCTCCTACTCTTCAACTCCTTGTTACAACTCCAATTTACATGTTAACATCCTCGGCAGCTGCAGCTGAAATGGGATATCAGCTTGCAGAACGCATTCAGTGCAGGTATTGAATGTGTCTGGAATTGAATATTGAATCCCAATCTTTTGCCATAGTGTACAAGATACTGATATTACATTGATATTATTGTTAGCTCAATATTATCCTGCAGTATGTTGGTCTCTTGCCACCCTACTGCACTCCATCCTTCCAGCTCCTTAACATTAATCTCATACAGCTATAATGCCACTCTAATCGTCTAATTACACTCACTTCCTCGCAAGCTGACTGCGGCTATTCTGCTTGACACATTCAGCACAGACAGAGAGCGAGAGATGTGATCATTTAAGTGTCTGCAAGCAGTGGAGTGGAGAGACAGAAATGGTTTTGCTCTTGCTTTTCCTCAGTGTACCACTTATATTCTTTTGCCACTTCCTTTTGCAGCTTCACCTCCCTCCAGCTCTGCAGCCACCTCTCACTTTCCCCATTTCTTGTCAAGGCTGAACCATCAATAGCATGAGTATGGGCAGTGTAATGACTGCACCAGGAGGGAAATGCACTTTCTGATTTACAGATATTCCTTGACATATTGACATAAGTACAGAGTTTCTTTGATGTGTACAATTAACCTTTCAGGTTTCTGGCATATGCGTGGCAGGCATCTATTTTGGTCTTTGATTGGTAGAGATTATGCACACAGCTGCTCCGCTGAGTCAAAGAAAGGGGGGAAAGAGGCAGCAGGCTGCATCAACATGTGCACCTGTGGACATTTTTCAAAACCTACAACAGATTAAATAGTTCTGAGCGAAAATTTGCATTTAAACATCCTTTTTACATCATCTTGTGCTTTATTTGTAGGTTTTAGTCATTTGTAGGGTGGTTTTAGTTGCTGCGCAGGTAGATAGCTAGATGGACTTACGTGTGAGCGAGACTCTCGGGGCAGTAAGGAGCACAGGGTTTGCCTGTTCCTGTTGTGGGCGTCCAGATCCACAAATATCACCGACCAGGAACAGCCCTGCAGAGCAAAACACATAAGCAGAAAGCATGCCAGTCACAGCTGAACTATTCACCCGTTACAGGTAAAAAAAAAATCAGCACAGTCTCATGTTCTGCATGTGGACACCCACAAAAATGCAGAGAAGAGATGCGCAAGTCCTCTACCATTTAGCAGAGAAAAAAAAGTGACAGCAAAATGGCTAAAATGACTTAAGGACCACTTTAAAGCCCCCTCCATCACACCTTACACCTCCGCACATCAAAACACACTCTTTCGCTGTAACACCAGGCTGATATTTTTGGGTTGAACACATTTTTGAAGTACAGTGTGGGAGTGCTTGAACAACAGCGAGTCGAGAGTCAAACTATCACTTCAAAAGTCCCCATGTACAAAAACGAAGTGCTGCTACTACAATGCAGTCTGTCCGTCCAGTGCACTTAAACACCTCTGGGAGAGAGAGAGGTGGGGCAGTTTATGCTTTTACTCAGTGAGCGAAGTGATCAAACCTTTCTGGTTCTAAAATGCTGGTTCAGTCCACTTCATCCATCCATCAGCAGCGCTTACATAAAACCAACTGAGTCACTCCTGCAACCTGCTAAGCAGTTTCTAATGTAAGTCAAATGCATTATGTATGAAGATTGCCAGAGTCGACTTTTTTCCCTTCAAAAAACAGATCCAGCCAGGGCTTTTAGTCAAATCAGCAAGCTTTCCTGTCGCAATTTGCATAGTGCAGTGGATTGCTGGTCACTGGTGTAGGCAGCTGTGTGACAAGTCAGTGAAATGGCCCTCTCAGGGAGAGCTTTTCCGGTGTTCTAGCAGCAGAGTGTAAGAAAACAGAGCATGTAAGATGAGTGATTTTGCTGTGGATGCATGCTAATGACTGTGGTTTCCTTCAGTGGGCTGACATTTTCGTTTTAATAAAAGTGAACAGTCCAAACTATATTTTATTTATGTTTTTAGGTAGGTTTTTTTTAGTATTTCTGCTTTATTTGACAGTGAGAGAGATAGTCAGGAAAGGCGAGAGAGAGAGAGAGAGAGAGAGAGAGAGAGAGAGAGAGAGAGAGGGAGGGAGAGAGGGGATGATATGCAGCGACCATAGACTGTAAAAATAATGACAGTAGCTACTGTGACATCACCCATCAGTTTGTGGACTCTTGTTTTGTAGTCTCTATATACAGACTCTTCATTCAGTGAATGTAGAGTCTGTAGGCAAACCCCGGAGATCTTGCATCCGGAAGAAGAGTGGAAGAGCCCTGGTTTCCGGTTGTAGGCTGCTTGTAGTCCGCGTGATATTGACCAATCACGTTTCACCCGGCTGCAGTTGTTGCCAGGTTAAACGGTCGGTGCGGTGAACTAATGAGGCGGAACATAACTGGCGTCACTGCAAACTCTGAATCCATCGCAATGGTTCAGCATATTTAACTGAAGTCGGAAACGGAAATTCGCCTCCTCTGCCCAAATCAAACTGGAATGCCAAAAAATCGGGGGTCTGCCCCCAGAGGCTGTATCGCCATCTGCCGGAAGTCAGACGCCAAATACAGCCGATGGGTTCCGAGAATGCTTGTTTTGAAGCCTCCAGTTCAGCATTTCGGTCGTTGCCATCTTGGTTTTTTGGAGCCAGAAGTGACCACATTTGCGCCATAGGCTGGCGCTGTGGAGGAGTGAGGAGCGGAAGCGGAGGACATTATCAGCAGACAGCTTGTCACTCACAACAGCCAGCCCTTAGTTATGCGTAACTTTAAGCTCTAATAAAATGTAAAAGGATGCCTCAAAAATAAAAGCCCCCCACACAGTTGTCATGAAGGAGAAAACTAGCTATGGAGACCAAAATCAATTTCTGTACCAGGCTGTAAACATGTTTTTTTTTTCCTGCTGTAAATCTGGACATTTTGACATGGGGGTCTATGGGGATTGACTGGCTTCTTGGGCCAGCCTCAAGTAGCCATTCAAAGAACTGCAGTTTTTGGCAGCTCCATATTGGTTTTAATTTTTGAGTCCTGGAGTTTGCTGCTTGACAGCAACATGGGTCCCAGGCCAGACACAACACAAACCCTGGCCACTGCAGTGAGGACCTTAATGGTACGCACTCTGCCAGGTGAGCGGCGAGGGCACGCAGTATGTTAACCCTTTAATAGTTCATTCAGAAAAAAAGCTATGGAAGAATTTTCATCATCGCCACCAGAGAAATAAAATGTTTCACAAATAACACAAATATGTGAAAATCTATGTATGAAATATCACATAATTAAGAAAAAAAGAAATAAAATAACAAAAATTTGGATTTTGTTTTCTACAACCTGCTGCTAACATTCAAATACAGGAAAAGTGAGTATTTGTCATTCACTTCAATCTAGACTTTCCTCCTTAAACCTCCAGCAATCAGAGTTGTGCTTTAATTCTCAAATGCTTAGGGTATTTTCTAAATCATTATTACCTGTATTAGCAGTATCATGCGGGATTTTCCCAATCAATGGATTTTCACTTAAAGAAAATGTCAAATCAAACTGATATAATTCTATCAAATATACAATGGAATAATATGAAATGTATCACACTGTTAACAGTTTCAAATTTCATTAAAACTTTGTTAAAAATTCAATTTTTTATTATTTTATGGCAATTTTCAGTTTAGTTAAATATAATAAGTAAATAAATAAATAAATACAAATCATGTCCTTTGAAATGCACTGTGAAAAATATCAAGCAAGTATTACAATGAAAACAATAGTCTTTCAAGTTTTTTTATATGCATTTACATTATGCTGTTCAGTGAGCATTTTAAATAGGCCCCATGCCAAGTGTGTTGTTTGAAAAGCTTCTGCAAACTGCAGTGCACTGTGGGGTTGTTTTGGGCCTCAGACATATTTCGACTGGGTGCTAGACATGCACGGGGAGATGCAAAATATAAGAAATCTAAATATGCTCTAGCAAAAGATGTAGAAAGCAAATAAAGTATTAAATGAAATGAAACTGTAACTGAGCCTTTGTTAATCACGTGCCAACAACTGCTGGTGTAAAAAATCAGTCATATTTTTAACTATGCATTTTTCTTGTCTATCCCTACTTTTCCATGCAAACCCACTTATCCGTTCTACCTCTGCAGAGTTAGCCACATCCCTCTATAATGAAAATGTGACTGTATAATACGAGTCAATTACAGGCCACCATAATCTATGCCAGCAGGCCATCAATGTCACCACCATTATTATGGGTTGCTAATAAACGTTGACAGGGTGTAGATTATATAATACCCCTTCCAAAGAGCATAATGTACATCAACTTGACATCGCTTTCTGTGCATCGATGTGCATGAATTAAATTCAAAGATTTATATCAGCATAGAAAAGTAGCCTCTCCTCCACACACACAGAAAAAAGAGAAAAAGAAGATTGCTGGATTGAGTCAGGCCGGCGTGTGTCCACTCCACTACATCCCTGCTCTTGACTGGGTGTGAATTACTGTAGGTGACAATCCCGAGATAGAAAGTGGAACCTGTTAGGATTTGATTGTCCAGCCGTGTGTACACAGCTCTGTGAATTTAATGACTGGCTTTAAAGTTGAAGGATCCTCCTCTAGGCGAGATCAATTTTATCCACAGAGTTCAATTTGTCACACAGAGGAGCCGCTATCTTTGCATCCGTCGTGTGACTCGGAGGGATCATAAAAAAAAATCAAAACTTCACCATACTGAAGGTTGAGTCCGTTCATCTAGTACAAAGGCTAAATGTGACACACACCCACAGGAGACTGCAGCCAGTGTAAAATGTGATAGCCCAGTTCAGAACGTAGTGAATGTTACGGTTAGAGGGGTTGGGAGAGTTGCATTTGGTGTTGGAAGGAAGAGAGTCAATTGGGAAATCAAGATTGATAGAGATCATTAATACCCAACTGGCTGGCTTGTAGCACTTTCACTTCCAGAGGGACAAGAGACTGGATGAGACACTCACACTCACACTTACAAAGGCCCCACACAGCATGGGCCATAAAGCAGCTACCTCTATAAATTGATTCTTTCAACAAGCTGAGCTTGATGACAAAATCCATTTTCAGGCACAGTTAAACCCCTCATTTTGCAGCTGATCAGGAGAGAAAAACAGAGACTTTAATATACGATCATGAAAGCCTCATGCAGTGATCAGAAAAATAATCCATGTTCAGATACAGGAGATGGCCAGAGAAGCCATCGCTGGCTAAAACCCAGGTGGAGAAAAGAAGAAGAAAGAAAGGCTTGCTAAGTGCAGGACTTCATTTTCCAGTCCATTAGCATTTGTAATGAATGTCCCTGTTTTTCCTTTCCACCATACGGCAAGAAAAAACAAACACATCCACTAATGGACATTGTAAGGGAGATTCACAGAGAAACCAGGAACAAACATCAACTGTGGCAATTGATCAAAGTCCTGCAGAGACAAACGCAAATACGGTAAATGAATCTCCTGATGGTCAAACATCCACTTAAAGAAATAGCTGGGCATCGATGACAACAGTACCAATTATGCCGATGACGTGTCCTTGTTGAAACAGCAGTGGCTTTCCATAAATTAAGTCACTGACTCAGATTATTCTCTGCTCAGGATGCAAACATCAAGCATATCTCACTGATGTATGGAGCTGTAATGGAAAATGGGCTTTCTATCTATAATACGATCTCATGCCATGTGACAAGATTAGACAAGTGACAAATACACATGTTTCTTGGGACTAGTGAGGAGGAGGACATGTGCAAAGAGCAGGTAAATTATTCAAGTTACGGTACCTGGTTTCCAAAAAGGTTGAATCCATTGATGGCCTCCAGAGCAGCTTTAGCCAGGCCCACAGAGCTGCAAAGAAAAGAGACACTGAAAATTACACGACACAAAAAAAGCAGCTGTCACTAACAGTGATGCACTATCGGGCCAATGTGTAAAGATATCTTGCATTTCATAAAAGTGAAAATAAACACTATAATTGAAACCATAAACGTCTTTCAATTTTCTGAGACCCCCCCAATTCATTCAGAATTGCACTTGAATATTAAACAGCTATCTCTTGGGATTCAATAAAGTCGAAGGGTCCAAAGATTGTGGTCTACTGTAGATAATGGATCTCTTTAATAAAAACCTTACACTAAATTTCACACTGGGTAGCTACTGTGATTGCTATGCAGACTTAATGTGAATCAATTTCACTGTGATTTTGTTTCCCTTTCTACCCAGCCAAGATTTCCCAAGAAAAGAAAAGGAGCGGGGGAAAAAATTGCAGGGAACTTGGCGATGACTGGCAGTAGATCTGCTGACATATCAAAATGCATTCAATACCATTAGTGAAGCCTGAATCAATGCTTAAAATACAAAGGATGGCTGGCTAATCAGCTTGGAAAAGAGCCCTGCTGAAACTAGTTCTGTGAAAGACACACATGCACACACACACACGAAAAAGTCCAGTCCCGGTCAGCAAGGCTGTCAGCACTTCACACAGAGGTAGAGGAGATATGATGCTTGGTGGGGAAACAGGAGGTTAAAAAACAGATTCCAGGAAACAGGCTCAAAACAGCATCATGATGCAACAGATTCAGTTGACAGCTGGAGATAAAGATTCACATGATGAAAATGTTGCTGTAGACTGTTAGTCCATGAGCTCATATTGTAAACTGTACAACAATATTCTGTTACTCTGAGCTCAATTCCCAGTTTGGGTTATAATGGGTTAGTGGCTTCATATACTTCTTCATATTTCATATACTGGATTTGTTTTGGAATTATGGACCATGGAAGGAAAAATAAAAACTAAGGTAATTACAGCATTGACAATAAAAGAATCAAAGTCATCAACGATGGACAGCTGTGGCCACTCACATCAAAATACGACCACCTTGAGTCCAAAGTTCCATATGTGATGACAACTGAAAAAACTGCAGCTAAAAGCAAAATGAAATATGGTTTTCAGTGCTAGAAAAAGCTAGTAAGTGGATTATAATTCAAATCAGAAAATTGTATCCGCATTATTTGAATTTTTTTACCACTTGGTGGCAGCAAAACATTGCAATGACATATTAATACCTCAAAAATTTGACATGGTAAATGTGTAAGCATGTGTAATGAGTAAACAATTACCTGTTTACACCACAGACCTGCGTGCAGTATTCTAAGTGTGGGCCCATTTATTCCCATCAATGTTACCTAGTCGAACATGAAGCCAAAATATTTTGATGATGCTGACGAGGATTAAATTACCCTGATCTTCCACATCCATGGACCAATAGAGGAAGCTCACTAGAGATTTGCACTGCACGAGCTGGCTAACTTTGGGTTTAACTTTTTAATAAGGACAAAATGATTTAATCTTGCAGCTCTAATAGACTTTCGAAAGTTTGTCACACTGAACGGATCAAATTTTGAAAGTGAAATGAGGAATTTTGCAGGGGTTGTGATGTTCAGAAAATTGTATCCGCTGATTTACAGATGTCTCCTTCCCAAGCCCGGCACTGTTTCCGGGGCTCGGTTTACATATCAAGCAGATACAAAGAAGAAGAGCACTTATTTGGAGTCATATTTTAGGCAACCCAATCAGTGGTAGTCCAATATTCACTCTTCTTTTAGATCTGTTTTGGTCTCCACCACCTCCTGAGGGATATATCTGGCTTTATGGTTGTTAATGCTCCACCATGTTCACCGGCTGGTTGTCGTTTTTTTCCCCCAGCTATTTGGTGCTGTGAAGGTAGCATACATTGGGTTCATCAGCACCTTTTCACTGAAAACAGCTGCCTGCTGAGGCTGGCAACAGCAGTGAGACTGAACCGAACATTTAAGCTGCGGGCAAAACAATTAACTGAAAGACACTAAAACACTCCATAAAGCTCAGGGGAGCTGCAGTCAGGTGACAATGACTTCTGGACACATCACTGTTTGTGACCCATTTCACATTACACAAACTCATTTGATCCACTGTACTGTCTGCACTGTCCACTGGTTCACTGTAAAAATATTCATTAGAGCAGCTTTAAGGTTTTAAAAATGACAATAATTACAGACAGATTAGAGCACATGCAGATGATTTAAATTTTCGCTGTTGTAAAATGGATTAAAATATGAGAATCATGAATATGTTGAAATATTCATGAACTATGGGCACAGTCCTGTTTTTATATATCCACAAAAATATGTTTAACTCAAAAGTTGAGATATTTCAAGTAAACCAGCTGCTTACAAGATTAGATATGCCACTTTAAATGAAACACTCCAGTCTAACCATTTGACTGGGTGTGATGATAAACATGAGGCAGAAGCAATCATTTGATTTGATATGGACAAATGAGTACTCTGCCAAAATGAACACATCCTTTGCTGTTCATTTCCACTGAGCCCCTCTCTCTGCCCACTGGCACTCCAGGACTAGAAATGACTGCTCAATTTGATCATTTACACAGATCTTGTTTACACAGAACCATTTTGAATCCGCCCCTGCCATAGTTCACTGTTTGCACACAGCATGTTAATTGGTATTACGCAACTACATGTATACGCTCGCTCACTAATTGTGGAAATCCAAAGCATGAACTCGAGGGGAGGAAAATACAAGACGTACGACACACAGGGCTTCTTCACTACATCGAATTTGTTATCTTTTCTTGAGGATATCTTGGCAAGCTGCTGCCAATAGCCTTGGATTGTTGGAGAAAGAAAAAAAAAAAACATGCTTCCCAGAGATAAGCAATGGCAGAAATTGAGGATCATTATCGAGACAGTGAGGGAGGAGAGGGAGGCCCGTTCGACCTTGGATGATAAATCAGTTAAGTGCACCTAACAAAAACTCACTGCAATCTGAGTTCACTGGCCAAGGACAACGCTGGTGTTTAAACATGTGGTCCAAAATTCTTATCTTCATAGCAGTTAATAGTTCAGACTGTTGATCCATTATATCTTCCTCAATAAAAGTGATTTGCTCACTGATGGAGGTTGTGTCACTGCAAAGTTGTGTTGATTTGACAGTTCATCAGTAAATATGCTTTAAAATGGACACGCTGACCCTAAATACACCTTATCAGATGAAATGGACTGATAACTCCTTCTGTAAATGAAAACATACTTCTCATAACTCCTGTTGCTTCCTGTTGTAAAAAGGGCTGCTTTTACTTGCCCCCTCTCACACCTGGTGTTGGTCTCTTTGTTGGAGGGGCAAGAAAAGTAACATTCCCATTTAGTAAGCTAACCTTGATATGAAATACAATGTTGGACATGTGTAACTGTGTTCAAGTCACTTTCTTTATAAGTTGTAAGTTCATATTTATTTATTTGACCTTTAATTAATCAGCAGGGTCTCGTCAGACTGACAACTGACAGCAGGACTGACAACCTCTAGTTAAGGTGCGACTGCCTGTGATTTCACAGAGCCCTGGCTAAACACCTCTGTTGTCTGCCATCTGGACACCCCAGCAAGCAAGCGACAAGCAGGAGGCGTGGACTTTCTGTTCCGCCTGTACAGAAGTGGTTGTCAGAGGTAGAAGGAAAACTGGAAGCCATGAGGCTCTGAATGAAATCTCTCCTGAGTGACTTGCAACCTCAAATTGCTTCCTCCCTTCCAATTTGCTTTACTGATTACATCTAAAGAAGTCAGCTTTAATAAAGACACAAAAGATAGTGCTAAAATAATAATAATAAGTTGGAGGCATCCACCAGTTAAAATGAAGGCCAAAGAAAAAAAGGCAGTTTGGTATTTAACAAATATTTCATTCATATAATCCTCGTTTTAAAGCAGGCATTCAAAATTAAAATGACTCGCACTTCAAAGCAGATTTTCTCCCTTCTGATATCGTCAATAATTTAAATGTGAATGGTACGTCTATGTTCTGGTTTTGTAAATGCTTAATTGTCTGAGTTCAATAAAAGTTCAATTAATAAAGACAAAAAGGCAAACGCTCTTTTACTGTTGTGTTTTCTATGGTCCCCAAACACAAGCCTGCTGGAAATGTTCAGACATGGCAAACAAGAGTGGAATGGAAAAAAATCTCATTACCGCTCTATCATAACTGCTTTAAGGCCAGAAGACTTCAACACTATCACTGCTGGCATCTCCCACACTTTAATTCTGTCAATAACGGCCTCTGTTTCTACCTGATTCACTGCTCATACACAGACAGTCTGTTAGGTCATAGAGGCATTTAGTAGTCCACTGTTTTCTTCTTGTTGCTGGATTGTTTAATTCAGTTTATTTTTGAAGAAAGTTTCAACCCTTCTGTTAACACACACACACACACAGACTCTGGCCTGGGCAACAGCGTTGTCAAGGGTCTAGCTGCAGAGCTTAAGGCTCAGGCCCACCTCCGCCTTTGGACCATTTCCAGTCCTGAGCGTAGACAAGGAAGTCTGAAATTATGTATGCCTGCCAGACACAATCATCAGGATACGATCGGATGCATTAATTAGCTAGAATAAGCCACATGCCCTCTACCAATAACACCAAGGTTAACAGAACCAGCAATACTTTCATAAAACTGTAACTTATGAAGTTGGGTAACATAACATCATCAAGCTGCAACCTCTGGGGCTGAGAAGTGAAGCCAACATGGTAGTGCCAAAAACTTTAGCTCCTTGAATGGCCACCTGAGGCTGGCTCCAGAAGAGAGTCAATCCACTCAGACCCCCATGTTAAAATGCCCACCTTTACAGCAGAAATAAACATGTTCACAGCCTGATACAAAAAACAGTTTTGGTTTCTATACCTAATTTCCCCATTCATAACAACTGTATGGGGGACAAACTGTTATTTAACTCAGTTACTTACATTTTATTAAAGCTTAAAGTTATACATAATTAAGGGCAGGGCCGCTTTGTGTGAACTGTCTGCGAGGTGTAACCACAGTCTATGAGTCAGAGCCATTCCTTGCTCCCTCGCAGATCCACCCTCTCATCCATATACTGGCTCAAAAAGTCCAAGATGGCGACAGTTGAAATGCCAAACTGAGGCTTCAGACTGGCAGTCCACAAACCAATGGGTGAAGTCACAGTGGCTACGTCTATTATTTTATATAATCTGTGAACGTTAAACAGTGAATGCCTTGTACTTACATTATGAGTTTGTGATTGCTAGCTATCTTTGCTAACGTTGTAAGCAAACTAACGTTAGCATTAGCTGGAAGGACATTAGTTTGCTAACTGTATTAGCATTGCTAGCTAACGTTCGCAAACTCATAATGTTAGTACAAGGTATCTAGTGCTTAATGTTTCATTATCTTACGTCATTAGTTATAGTTATATTAAGAATATTTGGTTGTATTTTCTAAATTAGTGTTATTGGTGGAGGCTGTGTGATTTATTTAAACTAATGAAGACATGCTTTAGTTTCCTGATTATTGTCTTCTGAACATAAAATATACAGTAGCATTTAAACATATAATACAATTATTTGTTAATGATAAGGTCGAGAAACAATAAATACATAACAAAATGTTATTTTATGATAGGATTACTAGACGTGATACAATGTATTAAATATACACTGAGTAGGACTGCAATATAACAATACACTTACCCAATATGCTATATAATACTGTGGCATGTAAATGTTATTTATTTATAAGGAAGTGTAATAACACATGATTTTCCACCTGTTAAGCTAACATGCAATTTAAAGCATTACAGTGGCTCATGCCTCTGTGTGATCTATAAAGCTCTGCACGTAAATATATTTGGAATCATTTTTATGCTGCACTGTGCTTCCCAGGGGCACTGAGCAAAAAATACAACTCATGTCAGTCAAACTCTCCCTGTGGTGTGGTTTTATCTATTGACGTCTGTACACATTGCTGGATGGTAAACTACACTGATACAACTGGTGACAGTGACACAGAGAACATTGGTGAAGTGTCGTAAAAATCTGACAAGACTGGATATCAGCATTTGCCAGTTTCCCTTGGATACAACCTGTAAAAACCTCCAGTTGAACTCTGAACTATGTACATTCATGTTGCGTGCGTGCTGCTGAGCTTCTGACTGACCTGGAATGCAGCTCGGTGCTGCCGTTGTTGTATTTGCTGCCTCTCTCCCACATGCCGTAGTCAGGCACTCTGTAGGCTCTTTCCACACAGAACACCAGGTTCTGGATGAAGGAAACCTACACACACACACACACACACACACACACACAAAACCATCAAACACAGGAAGGCATGGGACATTGAGAATTGATGCAATACATATTCACAGTATCTTACACATACACACACATGCACTCATAGATCCAGGGCTGCAGGTAGTCGACATGTTTCCATAATGAGACACACATTCACACATAACCTCAGCTGCAGCTACACATGCGCACACAGCCTATAGAACACACTTACATACGTATACAGTAATGCGTGACCTTTGATATTGATCTGGGGTGAGGTGTGTAACTCTACCTCTAATTAAACGGGTCAGTAATGTGGACGAGAAAGTTGATTCTTCATCAATGCTCAAGGTCAGACTGTCCCTGTAGCTCCAGATGAGGTGTAATTAAGTAGTAAAGTGTGGCTGTATGTGATGCTATAGCTTCATTGGCTTGTCAACTGCCCATGACACGCCACTGAATGGACAAATATCACAACATCCATTTATAGCACAATTTTAATTATCAGCGCATCGGCCTGATAAAAACTCATCCGCAGTGTCCTTGCTTGCCAAACAAAACGCTGGCCTTGTGGCTTTAAAGTTGTAATTAGCAGGGGGTTATGCGTATCTGTGATCTGCCCCACACCGACTGTGGAGAAAGACCCTGCGTATGTGAGAGACATGTCAAAATCAATAGGCACATCTAGAAAAAAAACTAAAAGGGAGAGACATAAATTGTTTGATGACTTAAAGGCCTTGAATCATTAAAAAGACCTGAAAGTCGCAGTGTGTGCATGTGTGTGTGCATGTGTGTGCGTGTGTGAGCTTGACTGATGGGAGATTTAATCTAAAATGACAAAGTGGGGGGGGGAAAAAGAGAGAGATGAGGGAGTGAAAGAGAAAGATAGAGAGAAGCAGATACAACCTGTGTAGGACTTAAATAGGCCAGTCTGTGAGGGAGGGCAGGGAGAGAGGGAGGAAAGCAGACGAGGCTGGTAAAGACAGAAAGGTTCTCAGGTCCTCTTATTTGGGGTTTTATGAGTGAAGTGATTAATGAGGTGAACTTTTTAGTATCTTAATGGTATCTTAATGAATGTTACTGCCCACCGGCCAAACAAGCCTCTCTGTCTCCTGGCCGCCAGACGACAGTCCCTGCCAGTTCTGCGTTTTTTTCTTTATCTATGGAGGTGGATATTGTGCACATGGACACATTTGCTTTTACCCCATGTGCCTGCAGCACTCACACAGTGACAAAATTCACACACCTGTATCGTGTGGGGAAAAAAAACGCACAGGGGCTAATGAGACGCTCCATTTCATGCTGCATGAGACTGAAAATGGCATCTGGAAGGAGGTCGATAGTGCATCTTCTCAGAGGACAAGCAGCAGCCTTTCTATACCACCTACCTTGTGAAGAAAAAAAAAAATACTGCAATGCAGCTTCCAGCTCAGTCAAGTAAACGCCAACGGACTTCACAAGCAGTGACAGCTAACAACAAACTAATAAATGATACTGTAACAATGTGATCAGTCCAAAAGAAACGCTTTTCATCCAGCGTTCAGTGAGAAAACAAAGTCCTTTTTGCTCAATGGATCTGATGATATGAAACAGAAGGATGATGGGGTGTCTTAGTTTGAATTATGCAACCTAATAAACAGTGTTTAAGCATGCATATTAAGGCTGCTATGCAAACAGGACTGCCCTCATAAAAAAAGTTGCATTGTCAATTTGTTTGCCATCAGGAGTAAAAAATAGGGGAAAATGAGAAATTATTAGGGAAGGTTTTCTGTAAACAAAGTGAAGACTGCACGCACTAATTGGTTAGTGGCAAAATGTTTTACCATGCCCTTACTTTCTTAAGATAAGCCCAATCTAGTAAACAAATGGATTCCTTTACCAGCGGCACAGATTTCACCGCTCTGTGGCAGTAAGTAAAGCTGTGAATGAGCAGACTATAAAAACTAACAGAATTAATGAAGTTCCAACTGCTCCTCGGGGCCCACATAATAAACAGCACACTGTGTAAACTTAACAGCCAAGTTGCTTTGTTGTTTTATTAAGAGTCAAACATAAAGAAAATGACACCGGACAGATACATCACACTCTGAAGGAAACCATTCAAAGCAGCTTTCCCGTAATAGTCTGGGCTGGTGTGCTGCCAAATAAGACGTTAGCAGTTCGATTCCCAGGAGGACATTAAAGCCTCCACAATGAAATCATCTAAACGTTTCCCTGTTGAAAGTCAATTGAGCGGCTCAGCAAAAATATAAATGTGAGCCGAGCTATAAAAGTGAGCTACTGTCCCCTGATCCTGCAGTTGTGTCGGCTCTAGGATATCTGTAGGGGATTTAGGGTACATCTAACTGCCTTTAGAAATCCCATGCTCTTACTTTATAGCATCTGCTTGGATCTTCAGAAGGTAGCATCAAATAATTTAAGACTTGGGAATCTCATTAGGTCCGACAATATGCTTTAGAATAAACAGATTTTCTGTGATACATTTTCACATCAGGAATTTTATGTGCATGCATGCCGACCCATAAAAAGTAAAAAATGCTTCTCACAGACATAAGAACTTAGTTTAGAGACGCTTCAAAGTATGTATACGCTGTCAGTCACGTACACATAAGGACTAAAAGCCTACAGCTATGCTAACAGTCACAGTCACGCTGTACTTGAAACCAGCCATAGCTAGTAGATGCTGTTATCAGCATTCTAATGGCAATCTATTTTCATCATCTTAATGCAAACACCTGCTATGTGGCACTGACATTGAGAACAACCTTTCCCCATAGACAACCATTAAAAAGGAGATGTTTCTAGTCTTGACAGGACCGCTCAAATTGCAAAAGAGTTAAATTATGAATCTTTCCGTGATGAATTTTTGATCCATGAACACTTTATATTTGTAAAACCTTTCCTCAAGCCGAGAAAAGCAATTTAAAAATCTGTGACCTTTTCACAATGTAAAGTCTAGGGGCTGAACAGGACCTAACAGGACGGGGTCAGCAGACAGGGCTGCTCACAGGGAAGTAAAAAAGGGAAAGCTTTTTTAGGGCCTAGCCACTTGGAGGACGCATGGGGGCAAGCAATAATCACGTTTATCCTAAACATGAGCAATTAATCAATCAACTTTTATTTCATAGACTCAAGGTCCATTTAAAAGACATACACATAGATAGATTTAAAAAAGGCACTCATACCAATATTTCCACATAGGTTACTGGTAAACAAATGTTACTTTTAACTGAAACATCACCATTACTATCTAAAACAACAAAAATAAACATGGTATTTATTATTTCTTCAGCAAAATGTTGCCTGTTGCGTAACTAAAACCCTCTCTCCTAAGGTCTTTTTTTTGTCTTTTTTTTTTAACGCAACACTTGCCTAAAACCAAACAGACCAAAACAAAAAACAAAAAAACAAAGTCCAGCCATTTCTGTGACCAGACCAGTCAGCGGGAAAAACACTACTGCACATATTCAGTGGTGATAACCTGTACATGAAAGCAGACGCTAGAAACTTTTTTGCCGTCATCTTGCGGGTCCAGTATCTAGTTCCAATAATATATCAATGGACTTTGGTCATTAGCCAAAGCACTAGACATATATTAATAAGCTGACCAGGTTGTGGCCCTTGATAAAAAGTCAGGGGTTCACCAAAGTCGGTAGGACTCACCATGTTGGGACCACAAATGTCTTTATGACAATCTGTGCAACAGTTGTTGAAATATTTCAGTCTAGATCTGGAGCATGACTACAAATACTTCAATTGACTGAAATTAGGTTAAAATAAATAAATAATGATAATCATGTCTGGTTATTTTACAAGCAGTGTAACTGTTTTTTACTTATTTGAAAAATCTCCCAACATTCTGACATATGTACAGTAATTTTAAAACTGGCAGCAGCATTCTGCATGGGAAACAATGTTCTGCATGGGGAAATGTATTTTTGTTCAATGTTTATGACCTATATAAGAAAAGACGTGTAACTGTCTGTGGCTTACGACAGATACTGAATGCTGCTAGTGGATTCGCCAGAAAATATCAAACCAATAAACAGGACAGGGCGTAAATCCCTTGTGTCCACAATTGATCACCTCAGCAGTCATTTTCGTGTCTTGTTTACCTCATCAGTGTTGTAAATGATCTGCAGACCAGAGCAGATCATCTCCACCAGGTACAGCAGAAACAGAGAAACGGCATCGATCTGCAGCAGTGACAGAGGGAAGGACAGAGTGGATTAGATACCATTAAAAAAAATTACTGTCATTTGTACACTGTGAGATATTTTCAGATTTGTCAATACAGCTGTCTTCGGTTTCCTACGTGGTGCAGAGGCTGAGGGGTGAGCCTTGTATTAGCTATTAGGCCTTTGGCATTGGACTGGCATCATCAATAACACAATTTACTTCATGGCAAAGCTGTTGGAGGAGGAATCACAGCCAAGGACTGAATGTATATACAGTAAGTGTTTAACATCTATACAGCTTTGATGATTTATGAGGCTTTCTTTGTCACAGCATGATAATTTTGATTTTCTATCTGGCTCTCTTGATGTATTAGCCACCGTTCATTTTAAGTGCAATCTCCATCCAAACGTTACACAGCAAATTGACCTCTGTCAATACCATTGACAGAAGAATAAGCTGTTTTATTGCCAATTTAATGCACATCCACCTCTGAGGACAAGTAATTTTCCAACCATACATGAATGCCAAGTAGAGGGATGGAGAAATAAAACATTTTTATGGGCATTTTTTACACTAAAAAACAAAACCTCATGAGATTGTTTGGCTAATTAGTACATCCTGTTGTTCATTCAGTTTTAAAAAGGTTTGCTTCTCATCGAGTTTCTTCCCGGACCACAGCCAGTGAAATCATTTTCAATATTGGTACATAAGATATGTGAGCAGAGATATAATGGCAAAGTAGTGTGCGGGATTTGTTTTTTAACACGTGTGAAACCTGTCTCTTTAGCCTTGAGAAGATTCTAGCCCTTGTAGACATGTTCATTCCATCTGGATACTTCACTGAGGTGGACAGACACATATCCAAAACATACCAAGACACACTGTGTATTTGCATTTATGTAAAAATATAATTTTCAATTGATTTTTGCAACTGAGGGTTGTCTCATTTCTGCACTTGTCTGCTCGCTGGCTGACCTGCAGGTGGTGGTACTCGCTGTAGGTGTGAACCTCGTCACCGGTGTCGACGTGAAACACTGAGTGCAGACACTTGGTGGGGCTGGGATCCTGTTTAAACTGCTCCACCTGGCAGAGAGACACACGGACACAGAGAGGACAGGATGAAAGAGAGAGGTCAAGGGTAAGCAGGGAGCAGTGAAAGAGTGACCGAGAAGCATTCATTCCCTCATGAAAGGTACAGTACCCCACAGTAGCAGCCTTGGACACATTCAAAAACACATAACTGGGAACCTTGGGTATCCAGTTAATATATGGTAATGGACTCTCTCTACTGTAATGTCTGTTATGCTCAATTTGCTGTACTGTTTTGGTTGTTTTGTGAGTCTGCCTCCCTGCCATAACTTTAAGATTAAATAAAATGTAACAGTTGAGTTATATAAAACAAATCACCCCGTACAGTTATCAGGAACTGGGAAATTAGTTACAGAGACCAAAACTGACCTTTTGTACCAGGCTGTGAACATGTTTATTTCCACTGTACATTTGGGCATTTTAACATTTGGGTCTGTGGGGACTGACTTGCTGTTAGAGCCGACCTCAAGCTAGGAACAACAGTTTTTGGCACTTCTGCTACTGGGGATGCTACTGTACTAACTTTCAGCACAGGTGCTTCCAATGGGACTGTAAATGCTAATCCTGACATTAAAGCAGTGTTCAACTTCCCGAAATGTAGGATTACATGAATCCATAAACACTCTAGTGACAAATACCTTATATAATCTGTTGTTTCCCAAAAACAGTAAACTGGAACAGCCAGTATATCTGTCCTATGAGCAATAACCCCGGGAGATATACTGTACGACATAACGTAGTCTGCCCTGAAACAGATAAGGGTCAGATTTAGGGCAACCGAACGATGACTTGTTTTACAGCAAACACATAAAGAAACCCTGAACAACATATTAGTCGTGTTTTGTGTTCTGTGAGTTGTTGGTTGTTGTCTGTGTGTGTGTGTGTGTGTGTGTGTTTGCTGCATTGACTCGACTACACTCCAAATTACGGCTGGGCCGCCAGCCCCATCGCACAGAGTTATAAATAATTGGCCCTTTGTCCCATTTTTACCTCGTTTGTTTCTTTTCTCTCCACCTCTTTTGCTGCTCTCTCCATCATCAAGCCCTCCCTCGCTGTCTCCATTTTTCTCTTTCTCCCTCCCACCCTCCCTCGCCTCACTTCTACCTCTCTTCTTCCAGTACTTTCTATTATTCACCCTCCTTTTTCTTTGTTGTCCCCCTTGCTCTTTGTGTCTTTATCTCTTTTCTCAGGCTCCCCCTTTTTTTTCCTGCTTGTTCTTTCCTCTGGCACACTCCCTCTGCCCACCTTTGTCTCTTGCTTTCGCTCTCTTTCTCTCTTAGTCAGGTCATAGTGGAGACCCTCTGTCCCACTTTTACTCAAACTGCTCCACTTCCTGCCATCCCACAGCGGCTAGTACTTGAAGGGGCGGTGGGCTGGCTAGTAAAAAGAGCTACCTCTGTAAGCAGCTAACAATAGGTACTGCTGTTTATGTTACGATAAAACCTACTTCTGTTCAGAGGTCTCTCTGATTCTCGCTCCAGCAGAGCCATAGTGTCAAGTGGCTCCACTCTCGGGATATTCTGAGAGGCCCCAGATCTAGCTTATTGTTTCAAGTGCTGCAATGCGCCAGCGTCATTAGTGAAACACTTCAATGTCTGCTGCCCCATCCAGTAAAAGGAAATTGTATGTGCGTTTAATTCAAGTTGCAAAATACAAACTCTTGCACCTCAACAAATCAGTAACCAGGCCATTCCTTTTCATTTCTGGTTGCAGAAATGAGATCCATTTGATTTTTCAAAACAACTCATGGTGAAGAGATAAAGCCAGTGTATAGCAGTTGTTTAGAAAGCAGGCAGGCAAGATGAGACATCAAGACACATTTTTACACCTAAAGTTAAACTCTGTTACTTTAAACCTGCATGGATTGATATGTTGTTCTCACGGGGGTGGTGCAACAAGCTGACATATTACAATGACACTGTAAAACATGACATATTATCACCTAATAAAGTAATATGGCAAACTTGTTAGCAAACAGTGGCCTTAATCAACACGTACTCACTCTGACCTCGTCACGTATTTAAGTTTGATCATGGACTTTCCACATCTACATACAAGGTGTAAGGTACCCTGGGTGCGTTGGTTGTTGACGTTCTGGGACACCGTGTCAAGTTATGCCTGTTACATGCACTGTCTTCTTTCAAGATACACTTCCGTTTTCATAGGAAATTGAAGGTCTCTTTCAAAATAAAAGCACTACCTTGGTACAACACTGCAAATTGACATTTTTTTCCTTCAACAACAAACACACATGGATGGGTTTAGGCAACAAAAGCACATGGTTAGGTTTAGGAAAAAAGAACAGGGTTTGCCTTTAGAATCTTACAGTATGCATATGGATTTCGACAACTTCTAAGTGAGACCGGGCTCTTTTAATACACAGCCAGCAGCCACAGAGTGACATGTGTTTGTGTTTGTGTACACGTCACGAATGTAAGTCCAATATTCTCTTTCCTTTTAGCTCTTTTTTGGTCTCTACCAACTCCTGCAGGCAATCCATATCCTGGTTGTTTAGCAGCTAAATGCTTCATTATGTTCAGCAGCTTAATGCCAGCTTTGCCACTTGGTGTTGGGCAGGTAGCATGCAGTGTTTTTTAAGTGTTTTTAGAGCATATCCATGTCGTATTCAAATCAGTAATTCATTTATTTATATTAGAGATACTGAGCTTGTAACTGATGTCCAAAAATGTGGACCTTTATTCTTATTACATGAAATTGAAAGATGATGTGAAGGTCATCCTAAGACTACTGCTGTTTTCCCCAAGTCTGCAACATTCAGTGCCCCACGTGGACTTTTTGATATTCGTATTTTATCGTCTTGTGTCTGTGCCTTGCTGCAAAGACCGATTGCCCTTTGGGGAACAATAATAAAAGTTGGAAGTTGAGCTTTTTTGCTGAAAACAGCTGCCTGCTGCGGCCCAAAATGACACTATCAGAGCACTGAAAATGAACCAACAGCTGTACAAGTTAACATTAAACTGTGCTTAAATGCTCCATACAGCTGAGACATTCTGCAGAGTTGGGTGATAATTTTCTCTGTTTTTTTTTCCACAACGGGTGTCACCTTTCACATTACATGCAGCTATTTAATCTTTTGTTAATATAAACATATAAATTAGGGCAGCTTTCAGTCCAGCAACTTTGAGGCTCCAGCAGTGAAGAGGTACGTGAAATGATGGTTGGGAAAGATGTGTGGATGCTGCAAAGCAGTTGGAAAAACTTTAAGCAAGAGGGCGATACTATAAGTTTTACTGTACTGCTGGAGCAGGGGAGGGGGGTGGGTGTCATTATATTTGAGGTATAGATATGTATGTTTTTAGAAAAGGCATTTTCTTTAAATGAGTCACATAATGAAGCAACTCTTGTGTTATTAGTTATTGACATGAAGATTGTTGTTTGTAACCTTAATGTTATCTGGCTTGTGAGTTTCTATCTGCCTGACTAGCAACCCTGTCGCCTTAAAATAATGTTCATACACAATCTAATTTCTAATGTCTGACTTTCCTGACCATAACCAAGTGTTTTAGTAAGATAAACCTACAACATGTATCCTCTCTCTAGTGTCAAAGTCCAATGCTTCTGGCTGCCTAAGAAAATAACAGCATTATACCCCGGCACCTTCTGGCTCTAAATGCTTTGTAGGTTCCCAGACAAAAATTCACCCTATCAACTGACACAGTGACTTTAACTATTTGTTTAGCCCAAGTAAAAAAAAAAAAAAAAAAAAAAATCACTCCAGAAAATTATCCCTGTGCACCAGGCTGTAGACAGACAGTGGGGCCCAGCTGCTGTATTTGCTCTGTGATATTTGCCCAGCAGTGGACCTGTGTCACGTCTCCATTAAAAATGCCATGTTCTTGGTAAGTGTTGGAGACGGGGCTGTAACGAACGCTGCTCTGTGTAATTAACTGTGTAAACGCAGCTTTGTAATTAAGACACAGGAAAGCTCTCCCCTAAATTAGGTCGTCAAGGTCAAGGCAAGATGAAACAGAATGGCTTTCAAAGGCACACACTGTACACATGCACGTACACAGTGACACAGCCAGCTGCTCTGCTTAAAAATGTTGTTTGTGAGGAATGGAAAAAAATCAGCATACAAAGGACATATCTGGTTGTGTAAAATGGTGTGTTTTGCCATATTTGGCTGGACTGCAGCAAAGCAGGGGTCAGGCCTAATAAACACAAAAGTCTGTCGCTCAGTTGTGATGTTAGATTGGTGAACGGATTGTTTTTTTTTAACGACTCTTAGAAGGGAACAAGTTAACCCTGAGTCACAGTACAAGTCATTCACAAACCTCCTGAGCCGAAGACAGAGTGCGTCAGACTTTGGTGTCATGTTGTTGGAACTATCTGAGTTGGAAGTGAGCAGTAACTTTTTGCCAGGCCTGAAGATTATTCTTTTATGTAGCATAGGAGCAATGGCTGTCTTCGCAATATGATACGCTATCATGCCAAATTACTGTTGGCTGTCAGTGTTTGCTGTTTGCTGAAGTGATAATAACCAAGAGTCGGTCATGAGTTGGTTCTCGAGTGGTAGGCGAATGACATGAAGTGGATCACTGAGTGAGTCACGACAGTATTTCCACTGGTATCAACTTTGCCTCCGCTATCAATCATCTGATCCACTTCCTCGATACATGTGGTTATTGTTGCTGCACAATGTGTTCGCTACCCGCAAAGTTTGGGAGAGAGCCTCAATTGAGAACTTTAGGGCAAACTCTAAAATATTGTAATTTTGGGTGCAACTTTTTTCTGGAGAATGTATATTTTCCGATACATGTGTTTCAAACATGGTGTTTCAATTCTATGTTTGTAGGGTGTTGACACAGTTTGATGCATACGTTATAAGAATGAAGTTGTGTGGGCATAATAGTGTGTGTACAGAGCTGCCAATCTGGCAACTTTCTCACTAGATTTAGCAACTTCTCAGACCGTCTTAGCGACTTTATTTCTATAGAGCATGTGGCGACAAATTTAACAATTTATTCAGACCATCAGGAAAAAACTGTGGGGTCTCATTTCCCTCTCATCTTACTCCGTGCCATTACGCAGATACACGCTGTCAGTAGGGTGGTAGAGAGAGAGAAAGGGAGATGGTGGATGCGCTATACGAGCAGACAGGTGTTGCCGATCTGAACTGAGAAGAAATTAACAGGATAACTGTCAAGTGGTTGTAAATGAACAGTGTAGGTTTTAATTTGTCTGTGAATAAATGCTGCAGCAGCTCAGCAAAGTGAGCATCAACTTCGGCCCTGGAGGCAAAACAAAGCCTCCCCTGTGCTTCCCGACCACGGTCTGGAAGCTGAAGCAGGAAAGTTATCTTGCTCTGTTTTCCGTAATACCAACATTTGAGGCTGTGGGCATATTCAGCATTGTCATGGGATGCAGCCTAGGTCTAGTCTAATTAACAAAGTAACATAATTCCTGTAATAACACTACAAAAAAGCATGATTATATTATTGTATTTATTAAAGTAAAGCAGTCCTCAGTTATTTGTCTCGTATTTTAACAATGTCTTGTATTTTAACAACGTCATGTGATATGCTACATTAGTGCACTTTGAAAACAAATATTACTGGAACAGCTACAGACAATTGCAAATGAACATTTAATATCCAGGAAATCACCTTATAGACACTAGCACTGACTACTGCACTGACTTGGCCAAAATTTTGCTCATTGAACATACATGGTTCAGCCATATACAAGGTTTTCACCCAGTCTGGTTCGTTCACAGCCTAGTCTTGTGCATGCATCGGGTTTCCTGCAGACGTGGCATGAAATTTCCCCCTGTGGAGCAAAAGTCTTTGGCAATTAACAGATTGTCGGTTATTAAGCCCTCAGGACTAAAGCAACCTGCTCCCATTGTCATTTGTTATGATATTAAAGAGGAACCAGATGTGTCCAGTGCTCCAGCTCTGAGAGGCTTTGATGAATAGCAGCTCAGAAATACACCTTTGATCTGCAATACAGTGTGTAATTGCAGAGTGCTTTTATGCAAACACGCAGAGTAAAAGCGGGAGCTGAGTGGGGGCTGACTAAAAAACTCACCTTATCAGCCTGTCGCATGTAGCAGTAGAGGATCCCTCTCATGCACTTGATGGCAGAATGCTCCAATTCATGGGTCCGCCCCATATCGTCATCAATGCGTCTGCATACCGGGGGGAGCAGGGAGAACACATGAGGGGAAAACAAACAATGAGTGGATGAATACATGAAACTAATTAGACTTCAGCTATTATGAGTTCAATGTTTCTACAACTGTACAAACTGTTCTAAACCTAAATAATGATTTAGGACAGTAAGCCACCGTATCACTGCACAGAAAGAAGTGTGCATCTACTGCTGGTTCACCTCGCACCACTGAGCTAGCTAACATTACAGCTCAACCGAGGGAGACGTCCATATTGTCTACATCTTGCGCTGTCACGAGCATGAGCCTCTCATCCATGAAAAGATGCATGCTTCCTTCTGCGCGGTGAAACAATTGGCGGGTGTAATTCAGAAGGAAAAAATAGTTCCTATATGAAACTGCTCACAACAAGGTCTGTGGATTATCTTGACTAACCGGGTCATGGTTTCTGGAAAGAGAAATTGCTCTTCAGTTTTTCAAACGTAGTTTTTGGTTCTTTTGCCACCACAAGTCGAGTGCCATCTAGTTTCATTATGCTGCAGAGAAGGTAAACATCTTTACAGCCAATATCTCCTACACTCTCCAACTTACAGCAATACAATCTAAGCTGATAAATAGCACGACAGACAAAATGTATTTCTGATTGTGGTGTGAACCGTCCGTTTAAGAGCAGTGGAGGCTAATGGGAATGTCATTAGTTTTTCAGGTATTTGGTAATAAGACAAAGCATTGGACAAATTAAAATGTTGACCTGCTGTTGGTGCTAGATTTAAAGTCTGGAGATGATCAAAACCAGTAGGATTCACCCTATTGGAACCATAAATGTCGTCATGGCAATCCATACAACAGTTGCTGGGATATTTCAGTCTAGACCAAAGTGGTGGAACGGCTGCCAGCATAGCTAATAAATATTATATAAGTGACCAAAATGTAGTCAAAAATAATGTCATTGTTTTTTGAACATGCAGTATCACTAGTTTTTCTCATTTGAAACACCTCCCTTTAAGCTTAGCATTCACTGTGTTGTTTTTAAGGAAGTGATCTTGCTAAGATACCACTCAGAAGACAATCAATTACAGCTGCAGTGACCACACTGCTAGTCAGCACATTCCTGGTGGGGCTGGCAGATCTCAGATGCACATTACAAAGGTCACGCTAATAATGACTTTGGATATCGACAGAGGAAAGCCGAGCCGCTGAGGTGAAACTCCAGTGGTAAACGGCACATTAATCACACTGTCTTTTGGATGTGACCCTCCACATCAAAAGTGATTGCAGGCAGAGAATACAGCAGACAGCTTTTCATCTCCCAACGTCCTGTTTTAAAGTACTTCATTACCGGACTACAAGTATTCTACACTGTAATATGCATGAGTTGATCCAACACTGGCCAGGGGTTACAGTAACAAACCCAGCTCTTCAAATTTAATTATAATTAATCAGGAAAATACAATGGGTGTCAGGAAGGTTAGACAACTACAAGAAAATATTAGGGACTCACCCACTCATGAACCTTCCCCCCATTATAAAAATGAATTATTATAACAAATAAAGTGTAGCAAAATAAAGAATAAAATGTGACTGGGCAAGGTAGTGGACTGAACTTCTCATGTCTACTTAGAATAGGAGTTTGTCGAATCCAACTGCCACACACTCAAACACACACACACACACACACACCCAGCAGCTGGGCGTGAAGTAAGTAATGGCACTAGCCAAGCCTGTCAGATGAGAATCATCTTAATTAAATCCCAGTGACAATTCTAATAGGAGGCAGCCATGACTGATGACTGAGATCTGCCGCTGGTCACATCACTGCAGTACACTCTATTTTTACCCCTTTCTTTCCCTCTGTCTTTCCCCTCCATCTCATTTCTCCACCCAGTCTCTCTTTCTCCATCTCCCAATTTTTCTCCCTGGCTCTTATCTCTCCATTTGCTTGATCTCCCCTTCTGCCAACTCACTCTCTAACCCACTCCTTGTACCTCTACCTTTAGCATCTCCTTCTCTCCATGTCCTCTCTGTCTCCCTCCTCCCAATCTCTCTCTCTCTCCCTCTCTCCCTCTTCACACCTTTCTCTCCATCCTTTCTCCTCTGTCCTATTACAGGCTCATTTCGCGGAAGTGCTCTTTTCCCTTGAAACATAATCACCGAGGAATGCAGGCATCAAGTGCAGGGATGGCTGATAAAGGAGTTTGGGGCCTTCAGACGGTTCTCAGTGAAATTCTAAAGTGTTCTCCTTGAACTAACAATCCCGATGTGTTTAAAAAGCAAAGGCTTCAAATGGCAGAGGCAGATTAGAGATCAGGGTCAGTAAGCATGAAATAGAAGAGAGCGGAACAAAACCAAAAGTCGAAGAAGAAGGGATGGGGGAGGGCAGACCCATAAACCTATGTAACTAAAGACTTTTAGTCTGTTCTGCACTTAATGCTCTATAAAGACACAATAAGTGAATAACTTCACTGGTCAGGTATGGTGCATATTCACATGCACACAAAACAATACCACTATCCTTTACTGTATATAGCAACAGGTAAGTACTCTGCCCATAATCACCACCTCCAGCTATACTACTAATCACACTAATAGTTTCATTTTTAAACAGTGTTTTAAAATGATAACAATCACCTTACACACAGAAATAATCTCCGTCCATATTAACATGCCTGAGAACGCATATTTGATGACCATTCACGTACACTTGGCATGCGTGTGCTGATGTAAACAGGTAGCAGATTGTCTACTCTGCAGGTAGCTGCTTAGTTACAGTAAATACTACGGAGATGGCAAGAAGTAACAAGAGATTTCTTTGCTTGGACCGATGGAGAAGTGGGACGGTTACTGTAATCATGTCTGTAAGGCGGTAAAGTTGCGAAGCACATATGGCGACATGTTAGAGCGGTATCAGGAGCATTTACCTTATCCATCACCAAAGGAAGCCATGGCAATGAGAAAGGAGTACCCGCACAAGAAGGCTAAGCATTGCTATTGATTAAAGGTATCTAGGCCTAATTAGAATGTTTTTCATTTGACAAGTCATGACTGAAAAGACCCTATTGGGAAGTGAACGTGTATTTCTACATCATCAAGCCTCCATTTCCACCCATCAAGACCAGTTTTCATCACAGGAAAACTGTGATGAAAATTTTTCATCAATTACCTATTTTGCATGATAAAAAGGAGACAATGACAAGTTAAGAATAGATCTTGACAATAAAAACTGAGACAAAATATACATTTCATTTTCTTTAGCAAGACATGACAAAAATGTTAGGTGGACTATCAGACAATGAAAGCTGTGCATGCGGCCGTGCATGCAATTATCTTCACATGCTACATGAGTGACAGGCTGGTAAACTCTAGTCAGTATTCTCCGCCAGGATGTTTCACTAGCCAGCAAAAACTCACACACCGGAGCAGCGTCAGTTGTTGGTGCATGTCGTGAGCTGTAATTCAGCAGTAGATATTCAGCCGTGTGTGTCTGACTGTGGATGGTGGAGCTGCTGAATGGATTTGTGGAGTTTGTTAATTGCAGCAGAGGCTGTTAGCAGTTAGCTCCACTTGTTAGCCGCTGAAGAGCAGTGGAGCAAGCAAGCCACCGGCCGCCAGATTTCACAGCTGATCTCCATAGGACTCCACTCAGTCCAGACTGGAAAAGCTTTATGGGTTGATACTGTTTGACAGGCAGGTAGGAGGCTAAGTTATCTGTGAGTGTAGCTGTGCTGTACGTAAACAGTCTGAACTCAGATCAGTTTTCTCTGACAGAGATGAAAGTTTAGTTTCAATCACCAACACTGAGAGGACACAAATCTAAATCTCCAGATGAACATGTTGCAGATTGAGACAGAATTTTGGCTTTAAATAAGTTATTTCTCTGCTTCTTAACAGTGAGATCAATGAGTCAGAGTTTACAATGAACCTGGGTACAAATCATAGTTGTCTCAAATTAGTTATCTGTGGTGTCAAAGGTTGCAAGTATGTACGTGTGTAGAAATTATTTGTAGTTGTAGAAAAAATTGCCTTAATAAAATTTTATACAACCTGTCACCTTGATTCTGATTTCTGATACATGAATTAGCCTAACTGGATTAGTTTAAAGATAAAAAACATAATGACTAAAAGTTGACTGAAAGGTCATGAATTTTCATCGACCAAAACGTTGTCAATTTTCCTCGACTAAAACTTAAAATGACTAAAATGTGACTAAAACTAATAAGCATTTCTGTCTCAAGACTAAGACTAAATTTAAAACCACTTAAAATTAACACTGGTCCATACTAAAACACAAACCGTACGTTTTAAAACTAAAACGGGGTCAGCAGCATTTTCAAAAGTCTCTACTTTAGGGATTCCAAAATGCCAGAGTAGTGTGGATGCTAGACGGAAATGTAGCCATAGTGATGTGTTTAAATGAAAAACATATCAGTGTGGATGTAGCACAAGAATTAAAGTTATATGATGCCAGTGGTTCATTGGCCCCAAAGTACATAATCTCCAGGCAGAGCCCGGTCTCACTCAGAAGTTGTCGAAATCCGGTGTTTGGGCAGTGAATTGTGGCATCAGAAACCAATGGAAAAAGGCATCCTTTAACATTGGCATGATGCGCAGCCGTTATAGTTTAATGGCACTCGGCAGCGCCAGGGGGATGTGCAGCGGGACAAGGACAAAAGTTAGGGTGGCAAAAGTCTGTGTGGGGCAGGCGGGGGTGGTGGTGAATGGGTCCAACAAACACCGACTTTCACCCGAGACAGCGGTGTTCCCGTCCCATAAGATTCTAAAGCTAAACCCTGTTCTTTTTTCCTAAACCCTACCATGTGTTTTTGTTGCCTAAACCAAATTTCCTGTAAAAACAAAAGTGTATCTCAAAAGAAGACAATGCATGTAACAGGCAGAACTTGACACAGTGTCCCAGAACGTCAACAACCAACGCACCCAGGGTACCTTGCAGGTCATATGTGGACGTGGAAAGTCCATGATCAAAACCTCAATATGCGACAAGGTCGGAGTGAGAATGTGTTGCTAGGTAAACCCACACCCCCTTCCCAGCCTCTACCCCGTGAATTGTAGCACAAAGTTTAGTTTGGCATACTGGAGCTGACCCTGGGATGAGCCAGGGTCCAGAGATACAGTGTGTTTCAATCAGTGTGTCATGTCATTAAACTAGGTACCAAGTAGGGACTCTAAGTCCCATTTTACCTGCATTAATTAACACAAATGAAGTGCCCCTTAAGGCGACACACATTTCAGTTAAAGATACATTCAGTTTTGCACACATGAAACACATCCTGCATGGTTAATCTGTGAGAGTGTCTTTTGTGTACTAACCGGTACGCCATAGCCAGGGCCCAGGCACCAGCAGCACAGTACAGGGAGTCCCGGACCTTGGCCTCCTTGCAGGTGGGGCATGTTTTGACCGGGAAAAGGCCAGTGGTGGGACTCTGGTAGTTCAGAATGGTTGTCTTAACTAGATGGAGAGAGAAAGAGACAGAGGAAGTGGTGACACAATAACTCTTGCAAAAGTGATATTTACTCACACCCATATAAGCTGAAACACCAGTGAAGAAAAAAAAACTGTATCACACAACAAGCTAGCTAACACTGCTCCATTAGCCTTTTATAAAACACTTGAAACTCTCTAACACTCTAAAATGACTCTTCATGCAGCCATTGCAGCTTATTGTAGCTAATGCTCTGAAGACAAACAAGTCTGATCATTTACACTATTATTCATTACCAGCCTTCACTGAGAATGTTGTTTTTGAGATTGTATACACCTTCATACACCCACACACTTTACATGACCTTAGTTGGTCTGTTTTCACTCCTACTCTACTTCACTCCTCCACTTAATGCTCTTAGGCAGCATCACTGCCATCACTAATGAGGACAATCTTCATATTGATGAATAATAAAATAAATCCATTGAGCCTGAGCTGGTCTAACTTGAATACAGAGGTTTTATTACAAGAAAAGCCTTTGGCACAGCATGTGTGCATAGACAGAGACATACCAAAAAATTGAAATACAGAACAATCTGTTGTGCCTCATACAGTGTCTGTGTCACGTAAGTCAGGTCCTTGTATCTTCACGTCTCCAGACAAGAATCAGACAAAGTGTGGGTGTGTTACTTAGGAGCATCAATAACGCTGACCTCTTGTCTTCCAGACAGGCAGGAGCCTCTCAACATAAAACTTGCTAAGTGCCAAGGACACTGATGCATCGCAGGTCAACTTCATGTCAATGCAAAAATTAAACATTCTTAAGAGACACAGAATCAAACATTTATTTATGATCATCTCTACCAGGTGCCTTTTTGGTCCAGTTTTAGATGCTTGTGTGTCAGAGCAGATGTGTGGAGCCATTTTATTCTGCTATGCCGTGTCAGCTGGACAAGAAGCAGTCCCTGTGTCAGACAGAGCACAGTAATGTACTGCCAGTGTGTATTTCTTCTACTCCTGGTCTTTTCATTTTCCCCAGACTAGTCTGCATTTGTGAAGTCAGCTCCTCGAACGGGGTTACAGCTTACTCCCTGACATGTGACCTTTATTCAGGCTGTGCAGCTGTTGCCTCTGCTTCATCCCTCTCTCTAAGTTCCTCACATGCATATAGCAGCTCAAACAAATTCAATTCAATTCAGTTAATTCAATTTAGAAAACACTGCACAAAGGCATTCGGCTAATAATTTTTCTTTTATGATGAAAGTATGCAAAAGTTCATTTAATAAAGTCACTTGAAAAGCTCAGTCTGTGTTTATGTACACATTTACAGTAAACACTGTAAGAGTGTGATAACAGATGTCGAACACAGTGTGAACAGTGACATGAAACGTGTGAATGGCTGTGACAGTAAAGAAAAGGAATAATTCCTGGCAGAATAGCACTTAGACTCAGAGTGCTTTTGTAGTGTTCAGAATACTTATTGTGCTGCACAAGCTGACAAGACTTAGTTCATGTTCATGTCAGCGTTTTGCAAGGCATTGACAAGACAGACATGGAGTTGTGCAAGCTGACCTGCTCTGTGTTATGTGAACATACTTCACCACCAGTTACAAACTTAACTCAGCCTCCCATGAGGAGATACAAGCATCATTTCTATATGGGCATTAACTACATTTCAAAAGCCTAATTCAATGGAGTGAGATCAGGTCTTTAGGTATTTCAGGTAGAGAACTGGGATTTACGTGAACTCGTACTCTGACCTTGACTCACATGTGTTAAAACAGTTACAAAATACAACACTGCATGACCTGTTACGTTTCTGTACTACTGCTGCACCAGCATCACAGTGGAAATGAGGAAATCACCCAAGGAAAGTTCCTCATGTGTTACATGTCTGTGCCTCAAACATGTACTTTAAACCTACATCTTGCTTCTGAAACGTTACCCCAGGAAAATCTACTCACACCAATTGCTTGTTATGTGACATTTTATATATATTTGACTAAAATATGTGTAGACATTTCTTGCACATTTAATCCTGTTAAGCAATTATTCCTACATGTCAAACAGACATCCATGGTCCAAAAAGGATAAAATTTATTCAGTACTTTTACATGCATTTAAGTAACCAGGGTAACCAGAATACATTTATATGCACTATAGTACTGTAAATCAGAGCAGATAGATGGAGCACAGCTTTTCCTCACAGCATCAGTGTCTCTGAATTTAACAGTTCATCAAATGGTCTGTGGTGCAAACCAATTTATTCCGACTTGTACAGGCTACTGTGTTAGTTTTAGTCCAACTTGGACAGAATAATTTCAAATAGTAGAACACGTCGCTTCGTGTAATTATCTCACCTTTCATTGACCTGCCCTGCTGTTACTCTCCTCGTCCAAAGTCTTTGTTATACACATAAGTAGTTGTAAAAAGCAGATTAGAAATCCAGTTACCATACAGATGACCAAGAAATACAGGAGAAATCTATTATAGAAACCAGCATTCTCTTTTACAAGACAGTTAAGAAATCATCTCACTGGAAAGAGCTGGGTGTAACTTGGTTAACTAGGTGCATGTCTATGTACTCCACTTAGGTGATCCTGTGTCTTTACCTCTGACGCCACAACGGGGTTCACGTTTTTATTTTTTAAGGAAATATGACCTGACCTTTCATCGAGCGCCATCGTCAGGCCAAAGCTTTGATTTCTCCAATCAAACTTTTGACTATTCCATGACCAAATCTGCCTACTGGAGCATCGTCATTGTTAGCATTCGAGCATGCTGACATTAGCATTTGGCTCAAAGCGCCGCTGCACCTAAGTACAGCCTCACTGAGCCATTAGCATGGCTGTAGACTCTTGGTGTTGTTAATAAATAAGCTGTTTATCATTTTAGCTAAACCTTCTCCTATCATTTCTATTATGTATACCAGCTATTATCAGCTGGCTGCCCACTTGCCACAGCCGGCCTGCCAAAGCCTTCCAACTGGCCCACAGAATATCAATTAATTAAGAAAATGTGAGGAGGATAAAAATGCATTTGAGTATTTAGGATACAGTATCTGGTATTTTTTTCTTCCAATATTGATGAAACCCGACAACAATTGAGATGGAAATAATTTAATTAGAAATGATTTACCAACCTTAAATATGTGCTTTGACCCATTGGTACTAAAGATATGATAAATCCATCTGTCAGCCTATTATGTGCAGTAGAGATGCAGCGAGTACGGTAAGCTACTAGAACAATATCAAATGTCAAGAACTGACAAAGCAGTGTCCTGAGTAAGGAAACTTACGGAAAGATTGCATGCAGTAGTTCACCTTCCACCTTCTCTTTCTCTTTCCTTGTATCTCTCTTTCTGTCACACAACACGGTGCTCAATCTGTCTCTGTCCATTTCTCTGTCCTTAGTCCTGACAGCTGTGCTACTATAATGCAGGAAGTTTGCAGGTCGGGTTGGGTGCAGGTGGTTGATTAACCCATATTTTGCTTGTTATACATAAGCTTCACTTATCCAATCCACACCACCCAATCATATATATATATATATATATAAATTTGAATGTCTGGCCACCACAGTGTCAGCTTAGAAGAATTCTGGCTCTTGGACAAATCTAGTTGCTATCCCCTGATGTATACAGATTTTACTAATTGCGAAAGTAGGATTACAGGGTAAGTGTGTAGGATTTAGGAGCATCTATTAGCAGAAATGGAATATAATATTCACAATTATGTTTTCATTTGCATATAAACACCTGAGAATTGTTTTTTTTTCTTTGTTACTTTCAGAGACAAAACAGTCTTTAAATCTTAAAGATTCTGGTGGGACCGCTTTCGAATCTTCATCTTTAGTTCCTTCCACAAAATCTGATGTTCTATCAGGTTTAAGTTGACTGAGCCATTCAAACACCTTTATTTTCCTTCTCTGGGACCAGTTGAGAGTCTGCTTTGCAGTATGTTTTGGGTTGTTATCCTGCTGAAGGTCCACATGTGTCTCATCCTCACCATCTTGGTGGATGGTACATGGCTCCAATCACCTTCCCTTTAATAACTGGGATTCTGCTGGTACTATGAGAAGTGACACAGCCCCATACCATGATGCTTCAACCTCCAAACTACACTGTAGGTGTGGTATTTATTAACGTCATATGCAGAGCCATTTCTCCGCCAAACATGGCACTTTGTATTGTTGCCTACGAGCTTGTTTATAAGTTTTCTACACATTTGGAGAAGCCTATAGATTACAAGTAGAACAAAGTGTGATCAGATGAGACAAACATCTAACTTTTCTGCAAATACTACAACCATAGAACAACAATTTCTTTATCAATGTCTAGTGTAAATTTCATGTGAATAGTTGCATTGGAAATATGTTGGAGGAAAAAAGAAAGTTGACGCATTTGAGTACTACTGTACATAGGAAGTGACTCCTATACTACAAGCTTGGCAAGAGAGGGGTGAGGGAAAGGGTATTCAGTTGGTTACAATCTGCAACCTCATCGCTGGATGTTAAATTCTACACATTCGTCCTTTAAATGTCAAACACCTGATTGTTGGTTGATATGAAATTCATAGTTAACACTAGAAACAACACAACTTTTACCTTTATAAACTGTGCCATACCAAATTGGTGATGACGTCTAGGATAAAATCAGGCCACACAAATGACTGTATTGCATCAGGCACTTCCTATATAGCCATTGGAATACATGAATCAATGCTTCAATGGTTACTGATATGTGAGTTTGACAGCAACATTAGTTTGAATCCCTGCCGTACAGCAACAGCATCAGGTAGTGCGAAGGGGAAGTACCAACATCTATTCATTATTTTCGAGTTACCGGAATGATTGGGGAACTCTACAGTAGGTAATGACCAAGGTAATTTCTTTGGAAATAAGAGAGACATTTTTCAGCGGGGGCTGCAAATGTCTGATTGCACTGAATGGATGAGCAAAGATAAACTAAGATGGTTGGAGTTCACCGAAGTTCATGCTCAGTATAAGTTACTGAAGATAGAACAAC